GATTCTGGCCGAGAAGCTGAGCTGCTGCTCTTATGCGCTTCTGGTCTTGAGGATGAGGATCCTTTTAAAAATTGAGGGTTCTTTTTCCTCTGTTTTTCATTTTTCCAGGAATCCTCCTCCCACTCTTCCAGTTCCCGAAAGGAAGGAAGCTTCCCACCATTATGGTCTAACTTCCTCCGCTGATGCCGGGTATGCGGAGGAGTTCGATCACGAGGTGGTGGCATATTTTGTGCCCTCATCGCCTCCATGAGTACTGCCAGCGCTCTTGCCACCTCTTCCGAGCTGGGCCCCGTCAAAGGGGTCCTCGCCCGAGTGTGGGAATGAGGGTGCGCAGCCGATGGTTGGCTTTGGGACACTGAATGTGTCCTATGATCGGACTCACCCCTGCTAGACCGAGAGTGACCCGGCCTATAATGAGAGTCCTGAATTACGGGAGATAGGGAATCCTCCTTGTATGATCCTCCCCCCGAGCCGGCACCCTTGGGAGAGTTCCGGTCCGGCGAGGGTGATGGTGTAGGGGTTTTAGGCTTTTCGCCCGCTCCTTGACGGAGGCTTTTGCTCTTGCGGTTCTTAGCCATTGCTGCTAAGATAATTGCAAGATGATCTTGGTTAGGAATTTGGCTTAAAGATTTTTGAAAGTCTTCCCCACAGACGGCGCCAAATTGTTTCGGGTGAAAACAATGGGACCTTGCCGAAGGTCCGCTGAAATGGAGAAGGCTGGATTCGGTCCAAGTTATGTTGGGCCGAAGGTTTCCTGCACAGTAAACACACGTAAACTAGCCTCGGGGGTGTTGCCGAGGAAGGCCCCTCCGATGCTAAAATCAGTACAATGTGTAAAAAGAGGACACTATGCAAGAGAGTTTGTTGCTTGAGGCTTTTATGGAATATATCAGAATATATGAATGAACATATGAATCTATGAATGAGTCAGAATATGAATGTATCAATATTGATGGCTTTTATACCTCATCATACATGGAGAGGTTGGGCCTTAGCCCAATTGGCTTGCTTTGTGGGCTGACCTTTGACTTTAGCACAATTGGAGTGTTGAACCTTGACCTTGGGCTTTTAATTGGATCATTTAGTGCTTAGGCCCAATTGGACTAAATTGGACCCAAACATATATATATATAATTTATTTGTTCTACAGGAAATCTGAAGTATCGGAAGAAAATAAAAGGAGGAGAGAGAAAGAGAAGCAGAAAGAAAGGAAGAGAAAAGGGTGCATTGATATGAGATGATACCTGGAATTGTGAGTGTTGAAGCAGAGAGATTGGAGGTGCTGCACAACTATGGAAACGCTTTGCTCAAAAAGATAGGAGAGAGAAATACATTAATAGGAGAGATAAAATACTTTGAGGTTTTAGGAATTTCTAGCTTTTTATATTTTACCTTTTTTTTAATTTTAATTATTATTATTGTGAGAAACCAATCAAAACTAAGATTAACATAATTTTACATCATATTAATATTATACATGGAGAATACCGATTTGTTTATAATTTTAATTTGTTTTTGTTGATTACTCTATTGGTTAAAAAAAAAAATACGTTTGATAGTTTTATATGGTTAATAAGGAAATAAGATAGTGAAAAACAATGACTAATTACCACATTAATCAAGTATTAAGGCATTAAATTAATTTTGAAAATAGGATTATTTGCATTGGTACGGTAGTAGGCAAGTATTTTTGTGAATTACTCCCTAGTATAGTTGCATTATGCAAATATTGAGATAAGTGAGGATTGTACATGCAATATATGTACCTATGAAGAAGATGTGTAAAATTGAAATAATTGAATTGTATGTAATCATTAAAAGGGAACCAATGTAATCCTTTTTTTTAAAAAAAATTGAGAAGTTAATTGTAGTAGTGCTTGGATTTAGATTTTACAATATGGCGCGAATTATAGTTACGGTAGTTTTATTAGTTTCGCTGTCTTTTTTAATAATTGAAAAGTTAATTATAGTAATAGATCGAATTGAATTTTACAATTTGGCGCGAATTATAGTCCTGGTAGTTTTATTAGTTCCACATTCTTTTTAAATAATTGCAAAATTAATTATAGAAATAGATTGAATTAAACTTTACAATTTGGCGCGAAATATAGTCCTGGTAGTTTTATTAGTTCCACGATCTTTTTAAATAATCGAAAAGATTTTATAGTAATAGATCAAATTAGATTTTACAATTTGGCGCGAATTATAGTCCTGGTAGTTTTATTAGTTCCACTATTGTTATGGAATATTTTTGAATTATAACTATTTTAAGGGGTATTTTGGGGTTCCACTTAATAAGGCGCGTGGCTAAATTCGCCGTGGCTAACAAAATCATATTAGTGGTATAATATTTCAATTTGGAATAAAATCTCATAGGACAAGACAATTTATCCAAATAAAAAGAGTTCAATAATTACTAGTCAAGTTAAACAATTTAATATTTTATATTAAATATGTTTTTACATAGTATTGATTGTTTTGAGACAATTTAAGTGCAAGTTTTTATATTACTTGTCTACTAATCAATGTTCTCAACTAATTTCATAATTTAGTCAAGCTGTTAAAAAAAATAAAAATAAAAAATAAAAACTAATTACATAATTTCTACAATGAGAAAGAATAGATATATTAAATGAATTTTATTTGTGTTCTAAAATAAACACTCATACATTGTACTATTATTCAACTTAGAGAGATAGAATAGACTAAGTGTTTTCCTTCAGGGGCGGATACAGGCGTCCGCGTAACACCAAGGGTACGCCCTTGCGTACCCTGCATATTCATTAAAAATTATTGAAAAGATACAAAAAATAATACGAAAAAAATCATTATTTACATACCCTGATTATGTATATTTTTTTTTTAACTAGTACACGAAATATATTAAATTACATATCTTATGATACTATTTACAAAAGTAATACTTCGTATGAAGTACTTTGTATCTTATTACGGAGTAGTAATCTTCTAAAATAGAATTATTAAGTTGTTTACCGTTTTAGGAAGCTTAGCTAGTTTCCTAATTGTCATACATAGAAAAAGCTAAGCAAGAGATTGTGAGGATACATGTATATAATTACGCTTATGCCCTAAACTTATCATACTTTGGTCATGTTTAGTAATCAGCTAGAACCTGATTAATATAGTTGGTTGTATTAAGTGATTTGACTAGCTGGTTACATTATTTAGTTGTCAATAGCTGATTGTGTAAAAGTTGCTAATTGTTAAATGTTTATTTAGTGTATTTAATTGGCAAAAATCTAAATGTTTATAAGCTAATTTAAAAAAAAAGCTCTTATAATGAGATTTTTTTAAAGGGTGTTTTGAGCTTAAAAAGCTCTTTTAATAAGTTATTTATCTAACACATAAATTAACTTTTTAAATTGGTTAAATATCGGGCTCAATAAGCTAAAAACTCTTTACCAAATAAGTCCTTTGACCCATTTAAGATTAAACTTTGAAATAAATTAAAAATAGCATGGAATTAATAAATCGTGACTCAATTTGTTTGTATCTACGGTGTAACTAAAAGAAAATAAATTTCCTTCAAAAATAAATAAATAAATAAATATTAAAAATTTAAAATAATTTAACAGCTGATAATTACAGGAATTGTGGGCGTGAGAGTACGTGTTTTGTGTGTCATAAAAGCGGGAAATTGAAATTTTTTGCAAAAATTCGATCGTTATAGTTTTAGGATTGGATGAGAGAATGAGAAAAGTGTGAGATCACTACTGCTACCTGTATACATGTGACTGTTGCCTCCCTTGTTTTGGCAACTTTTGTTTTGGATTTTTCTTTCATCAACATCATGCTAAGCATGCATTATTTAATGGTAATTTACCATAAGATTCACTTTACGAGGAGAACACCTAATGCGAAAAAATATGTTAAAATGTATATACGCAGGACGTAATATGTGCTCAAAATTACCACAGGGTATATATTACGGAGTCCTCGATTACTCATAATATATAGATGTATATCTAGTATATTTGAAAATCAGCTATTGTAAAAAAAAAAAAAAAAAAAAAAATCAGCTAATGATTTACAATTGCAATAAAAAGGTAAAAAAAAAACTATGTTAGTATAACATTTAGTGATGTGTTGTTGATTAAACGAAATAAAGTTGGAAAATTTCTATATCGACAAAATTATGATTAGTTAATGCTTTAAATGTTATGTTTAATTCAGAATTTGATCTCTTTTATACCCAAGTAAGATATTATGATGAGTCTAGATACTAGATACGAATAAGTCGTTATTAGATAATGGGAATGATTCAACGTATTCAATAAATTAGCGAAATTAAGCTTTACCTTGAGAAGCTCGTGAACAAGATCGAAATATTGAAAAGAAAAAAATTATACCGTAAAAGTTAATACTTAATAGTACTCGTAATAGGTAGTTTCATAGTTGGAGTATTAAGCTAAGTTAGACCTCATTAAATTAACCTTGAAAAAGCTAGAAACTCAAGCCCAAAATAAGGTATACGATGAGCCACACTAGTAGTGCTACAATGTAACTTATAGTTATATGGAATTATTTTTACACCTTCTTTTATATACTCCATTTTGATATGCCCATTCCTTTACAAGTTAAAAACTGTATTAGTATTATTAGAGCAAACATATTATATAATTCTCTCTAGAAAGTAGAAAATAGGCTTATTGAGAACAAAAATAATTAAGGGAATTACAAAGACTTCAATGTAATGCTAAGTATATATTTCAGATTCTATATTTCCATTCATGTGAGCCATAAAATGATTTTTCTCATACTATAGTGTTTACATGATCAAAAAATTAAAAATTAACAACAATGTAATTGGTATATAAAACCCATCTTCCTTCTGACAAACCAAAAAATCAGATGCACCAAAAATTTAACCCAAAGTCTACACATTATTAATGAATTAATGACTTCTTAAAGTTTGTTTGTTTGTTTGTTTGTTTTTTTTTTTTAATCTATATGTAAACCAGGAAAAGGGCTACCTTTAATCAAGTCAAGGAAGAAAGAGGGACTTCATTGAGATCAGGAACAAAAGTCTGAACACTACTACTACACCCAGTAGCAGTAGGACTAGAAATACTGTCAATAGTAGTTGACCCTTTGATTGTAGCAATGGAGAAATTCAGAGTGACAGCAGCCCTCATTGCAACCGGTCTCTTCACCGAGGCCGACTGCTGCTGCTCCTGTGGTGGTGGTGGTGGGGGGAAGAGGTAGGAGGGTGGCCTACTAGAGGAGGAAGAGACGGAAGAAGGCGGTGTAGGGTACCCTAGGAGATCTTCAAGATGGACCAACACTTGAGAGGAGGCAGAAGAAGATAAAGAACCCATTTGGGAAGGCCAGAGAAAAGTGCCCAAAGGTTTACAGATTCTGAAGCCACTCTTCAGAATCTGTTTCCTGTTTTTTTCCTTCTTTTCTGTAGCAGATGGTGAAGATTTTGGGGATGGTATCCTTAACTTCTGGGGCACTTTTATCAGTTCTTTCTCTTTGTTCTTCAAATTTTCATCTTCATTAATTACTGTCCTTTTTTTACCCTTATCTGATTCAGTTTTATCCTCTGACAATTGATCTTCACCCCCTTTTTCTTCAGCTACAGATTCCTTCAGCCACCCTATATCCTCCTGAAACAGGAAATAGTGCAGTACCTCTTAGTTTAGTTAGTCAATTTTCTAGCTTTATTATTAATTGAAGTTTTAATCTTAATTAACATTTGGTTAATAAACAAGTATATCTGCATGAATGTGGGGTATATCTGCATGCAATCATGTTGTTATATTATAAAGTTCATAAACTTTATAATATGCCAGAATTGTGTGACATTTTATGAAACAAGGTCCCACATCAATGCTCTTTTCCTATTTGTACAAGTTAGTCATATACACTCCAGAAATTTCAGATTCAACACATTCTACAATAGAATGAAAAAAGTTGTACCAAATCAAGCATTAATTAGCTAGCAACATGATTTGACCAATTTGCATATGATTAACTTCTGAAATCCCACATTAAGACAAGATTATACCAGCATATACATACATGATGAGATTTATGTGCTTAACTGCTTGATCAACTGATTCAAAGTTAATGAAATTGTAAATATAGTCAATTATGGTAATTTGGTACCTCCATTCCAGTAAAGGTCTTGGAGATTTCTAGCAGTTGTTTCTCAATATTGACTTTCCTCTTCATTAGCTCAGCATGTGTTGCCTGCTACCAACATTAACAATTCTGTTAATATATGATTAAGTACTAATCAACTACAAGTCCTTGCATTAAACGGGTGGAAAAAGGAAAGTGTTGCGACTAATCTAAATTGAGGGAGGACTATTATACCTTTAGTGACTTTATTGATTCACCAAAACTTATTGGAGGAACATCTGAAGCCTGGTTGCTTTCTTTCCCTTTTCCTGCCAACTTTTGCATCTCTCTGCTCAATAACAAAATCAGAATTCAGACACAATAGACATTAACACATTGCATCAAATAAAATCAATTACTCATTTAGTACAACTTTACTTAATCACTAATCATCAAATTATAGTCTACCTCTTCATGTCATCAATTTCATCCCTTAGCCCCTTAAGCTGCATAGCACAAACCGGGTCTTGGTTCGGGCAATCACCCGGTTTCCACCCGGGAGGCGGTACCCAATACGGGTCAGTAACACCCGCTAGCTTCCTAGCTTCAATCAAATCAGCACTCTCCAACCAATACTCCATTGCACCTTCCGGGTTATGTCGACGGCGAAACCTCTCCGCCCCACCAGGAGCTAACTTCCCGGCCATATGCTTCAGCAAATGATCCAAAAGACCCGTATCACCGATCAGCTTCCGAGCTTCCGACCTCAAGTCGGGTCGTAAAATCGGTTTACCGGGTCCTGCTCCTTTTTCCTTCAAGATCTTCAACATATTCTTTTCTGCCAACTTATACCTTTGATCAAAACAAACAATATTCAAGTACAATTCCAAAACCCCACTACTTTTTTCACCCTTTTTTTTTTAACATCATCCAACTTCCATAACTAAAACTTCTTCAAAAATCCAAGTACAACAACAACAAACAACTTAAAAAGTACAGAAAAATTACTATGATCAAGAAAAACCAAATTAAAATAAGAATTTCTTGATTAATTTAATAATTTATACCTCTCAATAGTCCATCTATGCTGAGAATCTTTGAACTTCTTCTCAGAAACTACCTTAATCTGATTCTTCTTCATCTTCTTCTTCTTCTCATGATATTTCACCCCTTTAAACTGACATTTTCGCTTTCGAAGAACTCGGGTTTTTTCTGGAACCTTCTCTTCTTCTTTCTCCTCATCTTCACCTTCGTCATCATCGTCATCATCATCTTGTTCTTCCTTTTTTTCATCCTCCATTGAAGCTTCTACTGTGAGCTCAGTAGGCAATTTTTGCGCCAATTTTTTCTGACGCTCTGATCTCTGTTTACTATAGATTGTTGTTCTTCGACGCTTTTCCCATTTGATTTCCAACCCATTATTCGAAACATGATGATCATCTTCTTCATCATCATCATCATGAACCCAGAAACTTCGATTTCCTCTTTGAGCAGTAAACTCATCAAATGAAATTTTCTGGGTGAGTAATTTTTTACCCAAATTCAAACTCATTACATAATGTTCATCTAAATTTGGTTGAATCAATCCATTTTTTTTCACACCTCCAAAAAAAATTTCCAGAGATTGAATACTCGGAAACACCACTGTTATATCATCATCACTCTTATGATTCACCTGAAATTTAATTTATCACCAAAAAATTAAAATCCAGAAAATAGGAAAATCAGTTGAGTATTAGATGAAATTTGAGCAAAAAATCTTACAAAAACAGCTTTTATTGAGTTGAATGCAGCTGGGATTTTAGTGTTTGAGTGACGATTAAGCTTATAAACAGAACCCATTTCAATCTCCATATCAAAATCTGAAAAATACATTCCGAAATTCATACTCAGAATCTAAAAATGAAGCACAAAAATAAGAATTAATGGTGAAATTAGTAAAAGGGAGTAGAAATTTTACCAGAAAAAAGAGTAAAACAGGGGGAAAAAAATCAGAGAAACTTGCTGAAATGAATAAAATTTCTGGGCAAAAAAATGAGGATTTCTACTTATTTTCAGCTCATTTATGAACCAAAAACAAAACCCAGATCAAAAAATAAACCCCAAATAAAAAATTATGAAGAATTTTACACAAAAAACAAAAACCCAAATAAAATTTTGCTTTCTCTCTCCAAATTATAGATGAAATTCTCTGAAAAAGTAAGATTTGAGTGAGCCCGTGTGTTGGGGGCGTGTAAAAACGAAGAATGTGAAATACAATTCACTGAAAAATGGAATGATTAGAGTTTTAGAGAGAGAAAGAGAAAGAGAATCAAAGTTTTTTTTGGGGGGGAGGTTTTTGGACAGAAAATAGGAAGAAGAGGCGCGTGAGAAATACGCGCGTGGGGGTTTAAGGAGGGTTTAGGGAAAGGTGGGTAAAGTGGTTGAGAAATGGCGCGTGAAAGTGTAACAGAATTAAGGAGACATAACAGAATGTAAGAGTATTGGGATTGGTGGAATGGCTGTAAATAATTCAGATTTTGTTGTGTGATTGTGCGTGGGTGTGGGTGTGGGTGTGGGTGTGTGTGAGTGTGTGCATGTTTATGAAATTGGGTGTGTATAATTTAATTACTTTGTAATGATTTTGTGATTTGTATAAGAAAAAGGATTTTGATTATTGTAAGTAATTTATATGCAATTGTTATTGTGTAGTGTTATGTTACTTGGACTCGTGTACCCATGTCCGATACGGGTACGTGTTTAAGCGTTTGACTAGGCTATTTTGTGAAAAAATTTCATAATTTTGAACTAAAAGTGAAGTGTCTGAGTGTTACGTGAGGTGAAATGAAGAGTCTGAGTAATATAGGTGTAATGCGTTATAAATAGGGTAATGGATCAGAAATGTATAACAACATTATGTATTGATCGATAACATATATAAGTGAACAATTAAGTATGAGATTATTTTGTTTCAAAAAAAAAAAAAAAGGTATGGAATTATTTAGTTTGGCTTCAATATGAGAGTGAGAGATAAGCATAGAGATTGAAGATTGAGGTACATGTTAAATAACGATAACACACTAATATAAAACGAAATTGATTATATCATGTCACAAAATAGGCAACCAAAAATTTTCAAGTACAACTATTTAAGGGTTTAATTTCTTTGGAACCATTTTCCTTATAATTTTCTTTTAATTGCTTTCGAGTTCCTAACATATGTACATATGCATAGCAACAATAAACTTACTTCATCCTTTTTCAAAAATAGTAGACATTTTATAAGGAAAAATTAACAACAAATATCTCAACTATGGGTGAATTTTTTAAAAGGTCTCACCTTTCAATTAACTACGGGCAGTCCCAATTGTAACAATTTCTTCACAGAATATTCCTATATGACTTGTTACCTATTAAATCGGTAATATTTTTTAATTTAATGATTTACCCTCAATCTCTATCCTTTCAGGGAAAAACCACCACAACTCCTAGTCTCCACTCTCCACACTTTAACCACCAATCTACCACCCCAATCGTCACTACATCCATCTTCTTCTACCTCCTTTTATCTCCTCCTCTTATAGCATCTAAGTTTACTCAGTTATGGGCCTATGGCAAATGGCGACGATTTTCGGCCCTGATCCATCTCACCCTAATCCAGGCCATCTAAGTTTACAATTGTCAAAAATGGACTCGATTTGGTTACAATCTAAGAAAAACCAATGTGATTAAAAAAAAGTACATATTTAAACTGTCTATACACTAACCTCTAATAAATCATAATCTGACAAAATCCTGACTAATTGGACCTAAGTCTCACCCAACCATAGACTCCATTTGACAACTCTACCTATTAAAGGGATATGACTATATGAGGTGATCAATAATTCTTACAAATTCATAGGAAATTGGCTAGATTACCGGTAAAGGCCTTTTGCACTTTGAGAGTTTGAGTAGATAATATTGGTGGGTCTTAACAGTGATCTTTTCGAACTGTAAGTCAAGTACATGAATATATGGATCCAACTATTCCATATCACATACCAAGTACAACTATAAAGTTACCGCCATATATACATTTTAATTTTTAAGGTAAACCAGCATTTCCTTCAAGAAGCAAATTATTATCCTGGGCTGAATTCATGAGAAATTATATTTGCAGGGTGAGTCCAAAGTGCCGAAATATATAGTTACATAAATCTCAGGATGGTACATGAAGCAAAATATAATGAGTATCTCACCTTTGGCTTCTCTATAAAAATAAAAATGCAAACATAACACCTATGTTACACGGACTCTGCATTTCACCTCAAGTACTTATGTTGGACCCTCAACATTCAAACATGGGTATGACACTTGGACACTTCACTTTTGTTTCAAAACCATTGACCCTTTTTTTTTTTTCCACAAAATAGCCAAGTCGGACGCTTTAACACATACCCATGTCGGAAATGGGTGTGCGAGTCCATGTAACATAGCACAGCATTAAATATCCTAATCAGAGATTGCCTTCAGTACATTATTAGCATGCAACTTCTGCACCAAACAGGCAAAACAAATTGGTAGGAGCAATCGGCATGTCATAAAATGGCTGACGAGTAACGCACTAAGACTCGCATTAAGGCTAATAATTCTTTTAGGCTACTAATGGTTAAGGCATAATTTAGACTCAATGCTCAAACAATTACCTAAGATTGTAAGAATATAGAATTAAGGTGAGGTAACATACTCAAAATTACTGAACACTTTAATACTAAGGAAAAACGAAAAAGAGTTGCTGTAAATTTACAGAACGACCACCTGTAATGGTATTGATCATGCTCATGTTTTTAGATAAATAGACACAGCTAGAAAGACAGCTGGAAAGTCTGATTTCAGATTTATAGCTAACTATGCTGATCATTAAGTACAAAATATCATGTCAATAGTGTCAACATGCTATCCGATGTTCTGAGTGTTTCATAATGCATTTTGTAAAAAGTTGATTGTGTATTAATAAATTAAAGCTGCGTCATATCTGTACAGTCGCCAAGGAATATCAAGCACTATGCACTAAGCCCTGGATGGCAACAGCAGTAGCAGCATTCCCGTGAAAACAACAGTAGACGAGAGTGTTAATGTTGTGCGATTAGTGCTGTACTATCATTTTCTCCGAAATTGACATATTTGGCCTCTCCAAGTATATCAGTTGCTCTATAAGGAGATTCACCAGTCTGGAACACAAAAAAGAAACAACGCTGTGATGTTTCAACATTCTTTAAAAACGGTTAAGAGAGAAGCTGAAACCAACAAAACTAGAAAATATACCAGTTCACTAGGCATAATATATGGATCTTGTTTCTTTGAAAGATCCCTCAAAGTACCCTGCAAAAAATTCAAATTTAGTCATACAACGGAACCAAGAGAACAGTGTTGAGCATTCCAGAAATTCAGAATGAAAATGATACCCACTAGACAAACTACAGCAGCAGAACCACAAATCTGAAATTTGTTTTCTACTGCACAAGCACGGTGTTGATTACACCAATGGCCGCAAATACATTTGGTTAGGATCTTGGTTCCTGAGAATGAAGGACAGAATATCACATGGACCACAGCACTTCACTAACAAAATCATTATGCGTTTCTAGGGTAACAATGGTATTCAATTTTAGTCTCTCTGTAATACATTCTTTTTCTTTCCAGTTGACTTGTACATGGAAAATTCTTTTTCTCTCCAGTATTCTTGACTTGTACAAAGACATAACAAACATCAATGTCCTTTTAATATACTTATTATAGATTTCTTAGTGTTGCTTAAAAGACATGTGCAATTAGCTATGAACACAGATGAAGCCAAACTCTCCCACAGCAAGTGACAAACAGAGAAGTATTCCCCCCAAAAGAACTTGCACAAATGCCAAAGGGCTCAGCACTCAACAATTCTGAAAGGCTTGACAAGAAGGAAATGAAGAAGATTACTTCTTACAAAAGGGACATAGGATTTTGAACTCTGACTAATTCGCCACATAAGATTGGCAATAAAAACCACAAATTACACAGCCCATCACAATCTACTGAACACTGAAAATAAAATAAGTCATTCATCATGCAGCATATTTAAAGTAGTTACATGCAAAGAGCATTACCAGATAGAGGAAACAAGCGATCAAATTAGCAACAAAATGGACAACTTAGATTAAAAAGAATGTTAACCTTATTTGACCATACAAGTCCACATGCATTACAAAGAGTCCTAGGCCCATTTGGTCCACGTCGCATCATTGGTGTTGAAGTTGAACTAATTCCACAATGTGTACAACTACAAAGAGCGAAGGACAAAGGAACGGATTAATACATAAACAGCAAATAAAGAGGTATACAACTGGACACGAAGCTAACAGCTTCTACAACAATTTGAAATGAGACCTTATGACAATTTCTCCGAAAAAAGAAAATGTTGCCAATGAAAGGCTAGTATTTCTATGGATACATCATTATAAAAAAAATAAAAACAAGGGAACATACAATGTTTCTATCTGTGTGTCATCAGGACCTGAATCTTGTGCATTACAGCCAGAAGATTCATCCCCCTTCTTTGAAGATGTAAATTGTCCCTTGCTACGGGGCTGCCTGTCATTGAAACAAATAGCAGACACAAATGAAAACAATAAAATAAAATAAATAAAAACATCTACAGCTTACGAGATTATAGAATGTAGTCAATATACATTAGATATAATTTTATAGACAAGGTGTGGCACAGCAATACAACATATTCAAACAATTTTTTCTCCATGTTTTACATTAGTTAAAGTGCAAGATCATATCTACACACAAAACACCATATTCAACTTGAACAATAATGAATGCCATCCTAAGCTTTTCCAATTAAATTTTTGATTCCTTGGTGATCAAGTGCCTGATATACAGCTATAAGCACCACTTTTGCTTAGTTGATATAATACATGTACAGCATCAAGTGCCTGATCATACACTTGAAAAGTTGAAAGGCACTTATTTACAGGCAATATAGACAATACTGAAAGACAACTCGCTATAATTTTTAAGTTCTTAGAAGATCAAGGCTTCTCATTATGAATCACAACCATATAAAACATCTTGAAAGAGTCTATGACACTATTAAACATTAGAAAATTAGAATATTAAGTCAAAGACTTACGAGAATCCTATCTTAAACAGTAGAAAGAAAGTGAAAGCAGCCTAAAGTAACAGTCAATTGGAAAAAAAAAAAAAAAAAAAAAAAAAAAAAAAAAAAAAAAAAAAACCGTACAAGCTTTCATCTTAGCATGAAGAAAATGTCCCAACGATATATTTAACATAATTGTACGATCAGAATGCATCAAGACACGAGAAAATGCCTAGTAACATATAACATAAACTTCAAAGATGACTGAAACTTTTAGACACTTTGTTTTCCTCAAGCACCGGTTTATTATCTAACAAGAAGTCCAATAATATTATTAATACATGCAACAAGGGACAAGAAGTCCATGTCCAATAACATACCTCTGTGCCACTTCTTTCCGAACACTATACCTAATTAACTTATCAAAGCGGCGTTCTTTCCTCTTTTGGCGAAATCTATTTAAAGATGCCTCTCGCTGTGGTAGACTGCTGCGTCCTGGAAATACCATCATATCCTGCAACAAGCCAACAAGGGACAATTATTAGGGACAATTATTTACATGCAAGATACACACATAAAAATATTAGTGCAATATATAATCTACCAAGATATGATTTATTGGGGAAAAAAAAAAAAAAAAAGAATACCGGCTGGTTCATATGTGATACTTGCGGTAGTTCTGCACCTTGTGAAACTGAAGATGGTGCACTTCCCCCCACATTCCCTCCTAACACCAATAAAACAGCTTCAACCTGAAGCAATCAAATAAATTTGAGATACACATAATAGACAAAGCCTCCAAAATTCATAAGTTTTGGAGACACTAGACATATAGCTCATAGAGGTTTTAAAAAAAAAAAGTCTTGGAACCTACAAAAGAAGTATGATTGTTACAAATCATCCAAAATCAGCTTTAAGGTCTTTATCAGTGGAATGGGAGTATAACTTATAGATTATACTAAGATGAAGTTTCAACATATGAAAAACAAAACATTGACAAAGCACTATTCTTGGTCAGCAAAACCATCCAAAAAGTAAAAATGAATTATTGAGAAAAATAAACATCATTTAGCATTGATGTATAATTGATACTAAATGAGATACCATTATTAGACTTGTGTAGTCTACATTGATATACTTCTCATTGTAACATAACAAAGTAAAAGTACTTTTAAATAGGCATGTATACACAGTCTAACTCTTCTAATCACGAAAGGTTCTTCTAGTTAACACCAACTAAAGGCTTTTGAACAACATATGAATGATATAGCTTCACATCAAACAACAGAGGACAGTATATTGAGCAAATAGATTCAGTCTATCTTACCTAAGGGTTACCCTTTCAGCTACATTGATATAGAATATATGAACTAATCAAATCCTACTGAATATTTCTTTTTAAAGATTGAGGCTAAGCTGAGCTAAAGCAAATTGGCTTACATGTACGACAGCCAAGTAGGCTTGCACTGAAAGCCAAAAGATCTCATAAAACCATTATTTTACCTCTTTTCCCTAATCTTATTGCTTTCTCCAAAAATTCAAGTGTCACACCACACACAAATACACCAAAGTCCAAAAAAGTTGAATATATTTCAAAGCATAAACTATACAGATGGTATCATCAGATTACCCTTAACACCAAAGCTTAACTCACCAAAAATCAAACAAATATTCCAACTCCCTAAATCTTTGCAAATTAGCTAATTTCACCGAAATTACTTTCCCTTTCATCCAAAATTAAATATCATCACATTACAATCTTACACTAACAAACCAACTTGTTAAGAAAGTGAGGTCATGATCATCAAGATATGATGATAATACTAATACAATTCCCGGGAGAAAAAAATTAAAGAAAAAAAAAAATTCCCCCTTGATTTTCTAACAAATCCCTTCAAAATAAACTGCTAAAAAAACATTGAAAATAAAAATTGAACCCATAAAACACAAGCAATCATCTTAAATTTCCAAGCTCCAACCATTAAATTAGCAAAATAATCAAACTTTACTTCTAAATCAATCCACAATCAAACATGAATAAATTCACATTATATAAAAATTAAAATTAAATAAAAAGGAGATAAAAAACAAATTATATTATACCTTATCAGGAGTGACAGAATCAAAAACATAAACTTGGCCACGAAACGAAAGTGTGAGCTGATCAGATCCTTCAATCTTCCCATAATTATCAACAGCATAAATTGAATCTCCTTCGAAAGGAACAGAACCATCGTCAGAACATCGTTGCTGATTATGGCGATGATAATGATCATCAATGGAGTCTTCAACCCCCTGAACGATGTCGTTTTCATCAATCAAAGTCTGAGGTTCCTGTAAATGATTGGGAGAAGACGATGACACGCTCATATGCTGCTCATGACCGTACATTTTGGGGGAATTTTTGAATTAGATTGATTTGAATAAATTAGGGTTTTGATATGGCATCAAATTATAGAGATAATTGGAGAAAAGGGAGCTCCTTATTGTTGAAATTATACAGACATGGAACAAACCCTAACCCTAATTTCGAAAAATTGGGGGAATGTTGAGAGTGGGTTCTTGGAGTGAAGAGTGAGGAAGAGAGAAAATGGGAATTTGTGTTTTTTGAGGAGAGAGAAACAGAATTTTTAAATAATTATGAAACTAAAGGCGGGTGAAATTACTGTTAAAAATAATTAAATTTATTAAAGGTTCAATATTAATTGTACTTTTATTTTTCTCCTCAAAAAATATTAAAATAAAAAAAAATTGCACTTTTAATCTCTAAAGAAAAAAATGTGTGCTTTAATTTTTTTTTTTGGTCTTTGTACTTTAACGAGACTAACCCTAAAATCACGCAAGTAGTGTGTGCTTTGTGGTACTAATCACTTAATTGGAATTAAAAGATGGCAAATTCGCAATAGGTCGGTCATCCCATGCTCAATGTAAGGTACGACATGTTATTGTGTGTGTCGAGTCGTAGGTTGTACTCAAATTATTATTTTTGAAAAGTGTAATAGTGTAAGATAAAAAACATCGAATAAGTAAAATTTGGCCTAATCATATAAGCACGCTATGACTATTGACTCAAAAAATCACGTTAGCTCATATCATTCAACATGTGGATAACCGATAATCGGATAGGGGCTAGGGAGTAGGTCGAGGCATGCAAACCCTAAGTTACAACTCTTACAAGCTTGACACTAGATAAATACAACATGGCTCAAAACCATCTTTAAATGGAGCTATATTGTTCATCCTTCCATCAACATTAGGTTTAGTGGTGGCTAGGACTCGGGTTGAACATATCATGGTTCCTAATTGTACACCTGATCTCGATCTCTAACTCTATTTATACATAGTCAAACTTTTTTTTTTTCTTTGTAATGATATATGCAACCAATATTGATTAGAATTGCATTTGATACTTAAGATACCCATACCTCCTAACTTGATTAGGAACTGTATCACAAAATCATGCATTGATTGTTACATTTAATAATTAATTGATTCATTTGTTGCAGCTTGGAATAATGAATAATGCAACTCTAGATTCATTGGTTTTACCCGAATGATTGCATATTGAGGAAGGCTAGATGTCAGCTCATTATTAGCTAACTTTAAACTTTGATATGGAGTATCTTTTATCATCAAAAGACTTTAGTATTTCAATTCCTTGATTTAGGAGCATGCACTTTATTGGATTTCGATTTTGGATTACATTAACCAAAATTATTCATGTTCTTCAAGTTATTTTTTTACTTCATTTTTCCATAATATGTCTAAAACAAATTTATCCCTAAAATTTAGACATAGTTGCAATCAACGCTTCGTACTCGAGATTTGGTTTAGCAAGCCGGTTTAGGTTCATAATAATTGGTCGTGTTTTGCCAATAAAAATGCTTAATTTCTTAATTGGCAAAAACTTATACAATACAACAATTATATTGAATACAATCAAAATGACAAAGTCGCGACTCCAAATCTTATAAAAGTGTATTTACAAAGGAGTGACTTTTATGTGATTTCAGGTAGCTAAAATCTATTGTATACAATAAACGCGTAGTACATGCCAATAAAAGACTTCAAATTTGAAAACGACCCTTTCATGTTTGCTTTTTATTTTTTCCCTGCTATTAAACTATACTGCAATTTAGAGCACTAGCTGGACATCCTTTTCAATTCATGACCAAATGCTATCATTGAGTGAAATAATTGCAAAGGGTGCATGAATATAAATATTTTAGCTTATCTGTCTAGCGTTCCTAACAAAGTCTATGTGGCACTAGACCCCTTCATTGCGCCACATCATCCACTCAACTTCTTATTATGTCATCACCCGCAAATAAAAGTATTTCACAATATTTGAACATGCAACCTCTAATTCTAGAACTAAGCGTCTAGGCACCAAACTATTTGATATTTTGTGTTACTCTTTGATACAAAATGTTAATATGTATAACAAATTTAATTGCAAGAAAAAAGGTAATAACCCAAGACATCGACAGGACCCAAATACTAGTTACATCTCGAATTTGTGTTTATTTAAAAGAAAAAAGAAAAAAACACCTTCACTTTTGTTATCTGAACCTAAATAATACATATAAACCTATCAAGTCTTTTTACAAATTCTTGCACATTTTATGGATTGATTGCCTTGCTTCTGCAAGAAAAGGGTTCATCTCAATTTTTGCTGTTTACAATACAATTCATGACAAATAAAATATAATACATCAAACCAGTGGCGTATCCAGGAATTCCGAACTGTGGGTTCGAAATCTTACAAAAAAAAAAAACGATGATCATATTTTGATTAAAAATTCAATACATAAATCAAATTTTTATCACGGATGAATTACACAATAAAAAAAATAAAAAAAAAACCTACAAAAACATTCTTCGAGTTTTCCTACTTTGAAAGCGTGCTAATACATCATCATCACTAACTCTTGCAAATAAGTCTCTCTCAAGATAAGTAACTAAACTATCATTCAATAGTTGATCACCCGTACTATTCCGCAACTTATTTTTTACATAATACACAATTAATTATCAATTAAAATCACAAGTCCCCAATAAACACAAATTTGACAATATAAACTTCTTCTAATTATCAAATTTCAATTAACAGAACAAGTAAAATTTTATTTCAAAAAAAAAACAAGTAATTTTTTTTTAATTCTAACTTCTAAGTTTCTACAATTCAATTTCTCAACAATTCAAGAATTCAACAATATATCAAAACCATAAACCAATTTAAAAAATAAAACAAGCAAACCAAGATTAAGAATTAATAGGAGTAGAGGAATAAGAGATTAAGAGGACTCACAATTGTAGAAGAACTCTGAAGTCTGAATTCAGAACAGTCGTCCCTCGTCCGTGTCTCCGTCACTCCGTGAGGTCGTCAGTGCTCCCGGTCGCCGGTTGGTGTCTCGGTGTGCGGTGCTGCGGCGGCTAGTGGCTAGGGTCATAGGGTGTCAAGGTTAGGGTTTTGGTGAAAATAAGAAATGTCGATGTTTGATTTCTGAAATCTGAAATTTGAATGTAAGGAGTAAAAGAACAAAAAAAAAAAGAGTACAAAAAAAGAGGGCAATAGGAGTCGAACCTAAGACATTAAAAGGGCGCGCTGCTCTATTATTCAAAGCCTTACCAATGCACCAAACTTACCCATGTGATTATTATTCTCACAGAAATTGTATTAACCCTTTTTCTTTTTTTTTTTTTAAAAAAAAATTAAAACTTATAATTTTTTTTCCAAAAAATCTGTGGGTTCAATGAACCCCCTTGAACCCCCCCTAGATCCGCCCCTGCATCAAACTAAGAAATAAAATGAAAATGTTTAGTAATTAGGAGCCTATTCTACTATTTTAGTGTTGCTATTTGAATACTCTACTTGATCTTTAATTTCCATATTAGCTGCTTGATCTAGAATACTTGTGTAATACAAAGTATGTTTTAATCTTGTTTAGATATAATATGATCATATGGGATTACTAAAAACAGCTATTACACAATCAGATTTCTGTCAATGATTTGGAAGATCAATGTAATGCCTATAATATTCTGCAAAATTCGTCTTTCTTGATTATAATAGCATTATCATATCAACCCATATCAATTTGGTAAGATATGTTTTCTTTTGACCAAACAAAGAGAACTATAATCTTGTATTACATCCTAGTTGTCTTAGAGTTCATCTAACTATGGCACCCAACTTTAGCATATTAGTCAAAGACAGCGTTGTATTAAATTGACATCAGTTTGGTAAAGCGTTGTATGAATACCCTCGATTCCCTGACTTACATATATCGATCTACTACAATCGTGATTTTGCATAGCCATGGAGAAATGCTCGTCTCTTAAGGTTGTTGTGATTCCGTGGCTAGCCATGGGACACTTGATACCGTTCCTAGAACTCTCCAAGTGCTTAGCTAAGAAGGGTGTTACTGTGTTTTTCATAACAACAACTAAGAATATCAAAAGACTACCAAAAATTCCAGCAAATTTGTTGTCTTTCATAAACTTGATTAGCATCCCTCTGCCTCATCTTGATCGCGTTCCTGATGATGCAGAGTCCTCTATGGATGTGCCTGGCACTTTGCAGCCCCTTTTGAAGAGCAGGTTCGATTTGTTGGAAGGTCCAATCACTGCTTTCTTAGAAGAGGTAAGATAAGAGTAAACTTTTTGACTTTAGAGCTCAATTTTGATCTTTAGTTATTCTTGTTAGTTTCAATGTTAGTAGTATCTTCATATGATTTATTGTTTCATAGATTTAGTTGTTGCAAAACTAGATCAGAAATTGCTCATTGTGAGTTTTTGACAATTGATTTCGAAAGTTGGGAGTTGGCCTGGAAGAATAGGAGGATCTTTAGTCCTTACTGAGTAGTTTGAGTCAATGTTGTAGGTGAGACCAGATTGGATTCTCTATGATTTCACTTCTTATTGGATCTCCCCAATTGCTGCTAAAATTGGCTCTTCTTGTGCATACTTGGCTTTGTTCAATGCCGCGACTTTGTCATTCATGGGACCCCCAGCCGAACTCTTAGCTAACACTCGATTAGCCCCTGAAGATTTTACTGTGGTTCCTGATTGGATTCCTTTTGAATCAGACATTGCTTATAGGCTTCATGAGGTGATGAAGTTCATGCATTCAGTTGATGCAGATATCGCAACACCAGATACAGTACGGTTTGGTGCTTCTATTGCAGGATGTGATGTTGTATGTATCAGAACATTGCCTGTGTTTGAACCTACATGGCTTGAGCTCCTTAGTAAGCTCTATGAAAAAACAATACTCCCTATTGGTTGTCTTTTTCCTGATTTTTTGGTTGATGGTGAACAATCAGACAACGACGAATGGATGTTGCTTAAGAAGTGGTTAGACCAGCAGAAATCAGATTCTGTGCTGTATGTTGCACTTGGGAGTGAGTCTACTATAAGTCAAGAAGAACTCGAGGAATTGGCTTTTGGCTTGGAGCTATCCGGTATACCATTTATCTTGGTCCTCCGCGATCCACCTGGATTGGCTAAAAATGTGTTGGATATGCTTCCAGAAGGGTTCAAAGAACGAGTAGCTAATCGAGGGCTGGTTCACCTAGGCTGGGCTCCGCAGTTGAAGATATAAGTCACCCCTCAATTCGCGGTTTTTTCACACATTGTGGGTGGAACTCAGTGGTTGAAGGTCTTGGACTTGGGCGCGTGATGGTACTTTTCCCTGTGATGAATGACCAAGGGCTGATTGCTAGATTGTTGGTGGGGAAAGGACTTGGGGTGGAAGTTGCACGCGACGAGCAAGACGGGTTGTTAAGAAGGGAGTTTGTGGCCAAGGCAGTGCGGTTGGCAATGGTTGAGAAAGAGGGTGAAGCATTAAGGACCAAGTGTAGGAGAATGAAAGATGTTTTTGGTGATAAGAACTTGAGTGGTCAGTATATTGAGGACTTTATCCATTATCTAGTCTAGAAGAAAACAAGAAGTGAAATTGATGATGTTTAGTACTTTGTAGATCACTATAATCTATTCAAGGTATAGAATATTGCTCGGTTTGAATACAATTCATTAGTTGGCTAAGATTATTAGCTCAAGAAAGTAATAAACAAGGAAATATGAAAGTACTTGGTGGTTTTGATACATGTTCAACTATCTATCGGGTTTCTTTGGGGAAATCTAGATTAATTACATAATATGTTTTAAATAAATAGTGATCTCATTGTATTTTCATTTCGTGTAGTAGTAAATTAGACAAAACAAGTAAAGTTATATCTTGTAACATTGGACCAAAGCACGTAAAGCCAAAAAGTTGTCTAAAATGCATCATTTCTAGTTCTCCTTTTGTGATTAATAATTGTAAAATTTGTTATATACAGCCAGACCCTAACGTTAATTTTTGTTCTTTATTTTAATGATAAAATAAAAAACAATCATCAAAATGAGAACAAATATTCATGGATGTACGATATACCCGAGTGTATATAACAACCTCTCTAAACTTAGTACGGAGTTTCTCCTTATCAAGTATGATGTTGCGATGTTGGATAGAGAGAGAAACGAAGGAAGTAATAACAAACTTCAACCACCATAACTGAAACTTGAACTATACCACTCATGAGATTTCCCGCCTCCACTTTCTCTCTCTTCCTCCACCATCACCACCACCACCAACAGCAGATCCGACAACTCGCTTTCTCTCTCTTCTACTCAACAACCGCTAAACCTAACTACCAACCACCCATCAAAACCAACCAATCATACCCAAATCATTTTATCCCCCAATTTTTCTCCCTCGCTAAAACCCTAACTCAAAACCCTAGAAATTTCAAAGCCCTTTCCCAATTGGATTTTCTTTTATCCCATTCCAAATTGTTCGATTCTGTTACTTCGGTTGCAATTATTGAGGGTCTTTGCCGATTGAAGAAGCTCAATCGGGCAAAAGCTGTGTTCTTGCATTTGAAGGACAATTTGAAGGTATCCCCTTATTTTGCATTTAGTTTAGTTTTTGATTGTATGTTTAAAGATGAGAAATTAGATGATGTTGAAGTTCAATGGGGTGAGATTAGTAATGGGTATGAAATTAATTTGACAGATTATGTGATTTATGTGTGTAAATGTGGTGATTTGGATGAGATTAAGGATGTATGTGAGAGAATTTGGATGGGTAGTAGGGTTTTAGGGAGGCAGAGTTTTGTGGCTTTGATTGGGGTTTTGTGTAGATGTAATGAGGGTTCGATGGCAAAATCGGTGCTTCATGAAATGTATTGTAGGGGATTTAGGGTTGATGATGTTACATACATTGTTTTATTTCAATGTTTATGTAGAAATGGGGATTTGGATTCAGCTGATTGGGTACTTAGGAAAATGGTTAAAGGGGGTTTTGATGTTGATGTGTGTGTATATGGAAGCTTCATGCATGGTTTATGTAAAGAAGGAAAGTTCCGGGAGGCGAGGAAGTTGTTTGACAAGTTGATAAAGAGAGATGGTGTTAGTGGGTCTAAAGCCGCGTTCTTGAAGGAGAGGAGGAGGGCGATTTTTCAGCTGAATTATAAGGGAGAAATTCCTGAAATGATGGTATATGAGATGTATTTTCGCTCTTTGTGTGCTGTGGGAAAGCTTGATGATGCGGAATTGTTGTTGAAGAAGATGATGAAAAAGAGGTCTATGGCACAGGTTTGTGTATATGGATCTTTCATCAAAGCGCTGTTTAGGGTTGGAAGAGAGGAAGACGCTCTCAAGTTCTTCCATGTTGAGTGCAAGAAGGGGCTCGTTTGCTCTGATGATCTTGCAAGATATGTCTTTGTGCAGCTGTGCAATAAAGGTGAAGTTGACAGTGCTATAAAGGTTTTCAATGAACTCTCTAGGAAAGGCGCGTTTATCAACACTGTCATTCATTGTAATTGTTTGTTGCGTAGTCTCTGGGTTGCAGGGAGGAAATTGGAAGCAGAGAAATATTTTGAAAGGATGAACCACGGGGACCTGGCACCTCCAAATTTAGCGACATACAGACTTATGGTTTGCGGATTTTGCAATGGGGGTAATGAAAGAAAAGCACTTGATATGTTTGAAGAAATGCTGTCAAAAAATATCCCTATAGATAGGTTCATATGTGAAACTCTTCTTACTTCACTCTGCAACCAAGGACGGCTTGCAGAAGCATATAAATACCTTGACGCCATGACTAGAAGTGGCTCTTTAGTTTCGTATACAGTTTGGAAAAGGATGTTTTATTCGTTGGTCAGCAATGAAGAGCAGCTCTTTGATTAGCAATAGATAAGGAATGAAAACATGTTAAGATTTAGATCTGATATTAGAGTATATTTACAAACTTTAGACTGAGTAGTGTCCTTGATCCATATCAACCCCTCATGAGAGTCATGGCTACACTCAACTTGATAGCATCAAAGGGTATGGAGACCATACAGGCAGAAAAACTGCATTTAACCACGTTACTTTCATTTCTGGTAAACATAATAGAATCAGAATATCTATCTAATCAGCAAATTCTAATAGCCGCGATAATAAGTCGCAATTTTAAACTTTACTCAATCGGTTAATCCAACCTGAATTTAAATTCTGTTGACATACTTTGAATTAAGTTAGAACCGTTGTTGGAAGGGTGTACTGTGATACCTTTATGATTCTCCATGATTTTTAGTAGGAATTTTCTTTTCTTTTTTTAATACATTGCAAAATAATATACTACTCCATCGTACCACTGAACAGAGTATAATATCATGTAGCCCTGTATCAATCACTACGCTGTGTTTTTATCGAAAAATACGAAAAAGAAGAAAGAAAATTTGATGAAATATTGGACTCTAGCGTAGCTTACTATTGGCTTGAGGCAAATTATGACCATCGTATAGCAGAAGCAGCAAAGTACTTGAACTTGAGAAAAAGTACTAGAGCCAGAGAAGGTCTTACATCAGCCTAGATGAGTAGATGGTCACAAGTCTCACAACCTTAAATTATTACGAGCTGAGACAATAAAAAATTCTAAAGGACTAAAGAACCAAAAAAAGCAAAATCACCAATAAATAAGAAGAGGATAAAAAAAAATGATACAACACAAAAATGGCTTTTCTATTATGAGAGAATGATTTGTCTCGTCTGTACAAAGTTTGGGGTTAGCTTAACGCTGCTGCTATAGAAGGGTATTGACCAAGCTAATGCTACGATCCTATATCAATGATTTACGTCATCTTGCTGACTTAATATGTGACACATTTTTCTTCTCTGTAACAATATGTTGATATACAGTTTCATTTAACTGATTTCAGCTGAAACTCAGCATAATGTATGTAGTTTGGAGGTTTACAAGGCAATGCAATGCATGAATCTGAGGCAGCCTTTCGCCAGTGCTCAGCATGAAAGAACAAGGCGAGATAGTTGGCTTCTGCCACATCCTTGCAGTCATTGTATACTTGAAGTTATTGCTACAGCTGTTCGTATGATCCTTTTGCAAGTACACAAGTTCCACTTAAAAAGAAAATTATGAGCACCAGAGCAGCAATTTTTTCCAGGGACAGGCACTCCTAAATGTTATTGATACGGTCCTGCAGAAGAAACAAGCCTTTTTTTCTCATTAAACCTATTGTTGCATTATTACTTAATATGCAGCTGTAATTTACTGACAAGTACACAAGTAATAAAGCTTGGTTATAAACCCAAAAATTAATTGTCAAAAAAAAAAACAATTAAATTTAATGTTATGCTGTGAACTGTTTAAAACATAATAGTGCAGTGCAGACTAAACGATTTAAGAGAAGCTTTAGTATCTCAAATAAGATGAGCATACCTTAAACAAACTATCACAATAGATGCTGCTTCAATAGACAGTCTATCCAGCAACTGAAGATTTTGATTTTATATTCCGGGGCAGGCCACCCCCCCTTCTTTGTTGAGGGTTTTCTATAGAATACACAAGAAGATTTCCTTCTTTTGTGCCAGCCAAAAAGCATTCTTCAGGAGTAACTGTGAGTGACGTTATAACCTTACCTATCCCAGGATATTTTTTCACAACTTCCAGGGAGTTCATAGAGCGTAAAACTATTTGTCCTTGATCACCTGCGCAAACCAAGAAATCGCCACAAGCACTGAGTTTTATACAGCTGAGGCGCCCATATGACTCCAAACTTGCTATGTGTTTTCCATTAATTGAGTAAAGGTGCAGGCTTAAATCATCATCAGAATATAGCACAATTCGTCCATGCCGTGATACAACAAGCTTTGTCAATGCACTACCAGATGGATGACGAAGAGACCGTACATATCGTCCCTCTCGTAGGGTATGAAAAACACATGTTCCATCCTTCGACCCACTGATAACTATGTCAAGCTCCATGCTAACATATAAGCATGTAATTATATCATCATGTCCACAAAGAATATGAAAAGGGGTCTCCGAAATGACATAATCTTTACGGACGATGTCACTTTGACTGCTTCGAACTCTCTTGTCCACTGTTCTAGAACGACAGACCTCCCACACCATTATTGTAGTGTCATAGCTCCCAGTAGCAAGTATACTTCCTTCAGAAGACACTGCATCAAAACAAGTAGCATGTATGACAGTAATTCAGACATTGCTTTCTTATATAATTGTCCTATACATGAATAGATAATATTTCAATTCACAAAGTATTTACTATTTAGCAGTTCAGAATATAAAAATTGATGTAATTGAATATGCAGTTTCCACAGCTCAAAAAATAATTTCTAAATAAACAATGATGTTTTAAAAACTGGATCATGGAGTTGCAACCAAATGTCGTGAAAGGAGAGGAAACAAGATATAAAATCTAGCTACAAAATGAGTATGATATATACCTGCAACACTGCTAACCACATCTTTATGACGTCTAATGCTCTGAACCACTCTTCCATCAGATAGAGATACTAGCTGAAAACTATTGTCCCAGTTGCCACAGGATACTAAAAAATTCTCTGAAGGTGTTTGCAAAGTAGCAAAGCATTGGGCTCCAAGTTTAGCAGTTTCAGCCAAAGAACTTCCAATATTACGAGGAGGGAGAACATCAGAACCAATCTCAAAGAATGGATCCTACACAAGGTTTTATAACTTCGTCAAATTACTGCAGAAAATAATCATCAGAATGCTTTAAAATTTAAATTGTTGATAGTCATCAGACCTGTGATCCAGAAAATGTGAAATTGCCACCAGACTGCAGTTGGGTTGTCAACCACGTCTTAACAGACATTGTAAGGCCCTGATTAACTAGGATGACATTAGAGTCAAATACATTTACATACAATAGTGCTGATGGAGAATGATTGAAGCTAGAAACAATCGATGTCAAATTTATAGAACCAGGAGCAAAACGTAAAGGTTGAGCAATTGGAATTGGTGGTCCTCTTCTTGGATGCTTCTTCCGAAAAATCTGGATTGGAGTTTGTCCAAAGTTAGCAATTTGATCTTCAATAGCTGATCTTTGCAATTCATCTTCCATTATTTCAAGATCAACAGCACCTTCATAAGTTAAATAGTAAAAGATATTTGCCGCCTGCAACATCCAAGAAGATAAAGCTGAACTTATAACAACCAAAAATAAAAAAATTAATAAATGTCAACCAGTTTAATGAACCGTTTCAACTCTCTCTACAAGAGGGTCCTGTGAGGGGAGTCGATGATTAACATTATTATACCTCTACAGCAGGCTTCCCTCTCTGCTTGTAACCAAATATTAGGTCAATCCACAGATGTAGATTTGAGCTAACAAATTCACTTTCTAAAGCCTCCCGATTTCTGTAAATAAATTCTTCTGCCGATCGCTGAAACAAATGAAGCATAAAATTTTTTTAGATGCCAGAACACGCAATTAAGCTTATTTAAACTCTACAAATTACAAAAAAGTTAGAACCTTGGCCCACGGGGGAAGGCAAACATCACCAATGAGTTCACCATCCTGTTTAACACCCAGATGGTAGGAATTTGAATTAACAAGAAACTCTGGCATGTAAAAGAACTCAGGAACTAGTTCTTTTACATCACTTGTATTAGACAAGCAGTTGCGGAATGTGCCTTCAATGCTCTGGAATAGACGATCTGCGTGGTCAAATTTACCTCCCTGAACAAGAATTTGTGTAAGCACAAATTTGAATGTGGTAGAAAGAATACAAAAAAAATGCCTAAACAGGATGATTTAAACAAGACTTAAAAGTTGAACCTAAAAATCTAGATGTTAATATATGCATAGCAAATTGATTGGACCAAAAATTGACACAGATAACCAAAACTCCACTCTTCCACAGTCTACACACCTGTAGATTCCGATGCAAGGCAGTGAATGGCTCAAGCCTAATAAGGTAATAGAGCACACTCCCCATGCTGGAATAATGAGAACCATAATAGAAACTGCAACAAAAGAATTATTTTCCCATGTTAGCTATTGATCTTATCCACATTGCTATATTTCCCTTTGCCCTTTGGGAGAGCAATTTATCATCAAAATTTATTGTTTGATCAGCCACAGATTATACCTGGGAATATCAGGATCAGAGAAATTTTGGTATCTATCCTCAAAAACCTGCAGAGATATCAAGTAGAAAATAAGGATCAACACATGTAAATTAATATTATTTACTATCTAACTAGATATGAGAGCCACAAACCTCAAATCTTTTGGGATCCAGTGCTCCCACAGGCTTTGATAGATCCCTAAAAGTTGAGGACTTGTTGTAGTCAAGTGTCTCTGAAGTATAATCAGCCAGTACCCATGGAAAGACAGGATATTGCGTCAAGTCATTATAAGACCTTCCAGCAAGCGTGTTAAGAATCATAAGGTATTCGAAGTTGGTTATTTCCCTCTTCCTCCAGCTTTCCCTAGCAGTTTCAGCCATCTCTTGAGCCAAACGTCTATCAACAAAGGAGATAACCCCAGTACGGTCCTTGGTACTTCCCTTGGGAAACAGTAACTCATTTCTGGTGACAACTATTAGGCTTCCAACATCTTTCGCCATCTTCTGTGAAGAAAAATTGAAGAAAACTGGAGCAACAGAATTGCTGAAGAAAATCTCAACTGCAGTGTATTGAAGCAGATACCGAGTCCAGTGCACTGCTTTTATCTACAGCCAGACATTAAAACAATTGTAAAAACAGTGTAGCAGCACACACAGAGAAATTTCAAAGGCAAAGATACAACTTAATATACCTTGGAGACTTCCCACCTCCAATGCCTTTTGATGCCTTTCATCTGCTTCTCCAAAGTATCCATGGCTTTATGCTTCTCAGAAATTATATTGGCATCTGTTGGAATTTTCAGAAATTTCAGTTTCTCAGCTTCGTTTGACTGATGAGTTGTCTCAGATTCAGAATTTTTGAAAGACTCAAAAGTTCTAAAAACTGTGGACCCTGCAGTGCCTTCCACCAGATATTCACCAAAGAAATGTAAGACATTTTTTAAGACCGCCAAGTGTCCAGCTAACTTTCTCTTTGGAGTAACCATGATGCAGGGTACAGTCATAAGAGCCTGCAATAAAACAAGAGGCAGATGAGAATACAGTGTATACATTTAAATTATCAGAACTTTCATGCTTAATTACCTGCCCACTATCTGTCTCAAAAGTAGGTGAAGAAGACTCTTTTCTTTCATGAACTGCATCCTTCTGTTCACCATCCTTCAACAGCTCAGAAAATTGGCCATCTGAAACCTCCTCAGAATTCATTCCCTGAGAGTCACTAGATTCATTATCACTTTCACTGGCTTCAGGGTTCACCTCATCAGTGATTCTGCGAATTCCTTTCAGCAATAAGCGTTTCATTTGCTCTGGAATAGGTACACCAGCACCAGAATTGTTTTCACAAGGTACAACTGCTGCTTCATTTTCTGAAACATTGGACGAAGGGTAACATAATTTCTCATCAAAATGATAATTCTGTCTCAACTTCAGTCTACGGCGCCATGCATCTTCTGTCTTATCAAGTTTCCAATGTCTTGCAACACAATTTGGAAAAGGATTAGCTGACCATGGCCCTCGTTCATCGATCAAATATCGAAAAACGTGCATCCATTTATCCTGATCAAATTAGAAGAATTAAAAATAAAAAAAAATAAAAAAAAAAAAAAAAAAGTAGCAGAATAGCAATGCAACTACGATACACTATCTAAGCAACACAATATGCATCAATACTTAAACAACATGAAAATAAGTATGCATACAGCAACAACTTGTTGCTCCTCATCGCAAGCAAGTTGGAATGCAGCTCTCCTACTTTCGTCCAAAGCCAGTATTCCTCTTAAAGTGCTTTGCAACTCATCTTCAAATGCCTTTTTCTGGCCAGAATCTGTCAGTGTGTTCTCATCAATCCTAGTCTGCAAGTCAAGCAGCTGCCTCATGTGATCTGTCTTTAAATCTTTTATGAATTTTGCCTCATCAGAAGCCTAAGAAAATAATAAAGAAAAAAATTACTTCACGTGTTACAAAATACATGACGGCAAAGTCACAGGAGGTAAATAACTAAGAATAGCTTCTATAAAAATACTAATAATAATCTCCTATTTTCTGTTTTCTTTTGCAATCACATTATCACTGAATAATTATGAGACTTGTCCTTTAGAATTTTATATAAGCATGCCTTTGAAATTAGGAGAAAAGAATAAATATTTATTAAAAAATCTACAAGGGAAAAGGCATATCACAATACATAACAACAGAATAAAAGGAGGTAAACAACTTAGAATGGCTTCAAATAATAATCTCCTTTTCACTTTTTTTTTTCCCCTATCACATTGAAAAAAGTATGGAACTTCTCCCTTAAAATTTATATAAGCATGCCTTTGCAGTTGAGAGATATAATAAATATTTTATTAAAAAATTTACAAAGGAAAAGGCACATCACATACGCCGAGTTCATAAAACCAGGTAGGCAACTGAAGCCTATCAAAAGTTTGCCTATCCTTTTGTTTTGTACAAGATAGAAATAACCCCATCTCAGCATGAAACCACTAGTAACTCTAAAACGCAGCACTAGAGGTCTGGTTCCCCAGATCCAAAGAACAATTGATCTTTCTTAGCCAAATGTACTAAAGAAAAACATACAGCAGTTGTTCTTAATTTAAAATTTTCAACCAGCTAAACTTAAGCATCTCTCCAAAATTTAGATTCGTTCAATGAACCTTTTTTCTAGATTTTAACATCACTAGTTCTATCCCTGCATAAAAGCAATTTTAAGATTGATTAAGGCAATGCATAATTAAGATAAGACCTACCGCAATAAGTACTCTATCTTTCTGAATCAAATTGTGCACAGCACCCATTTCTGCAGTTGTAGTGCCAGGATCTGAAGACTCATTACCACTATTTATGCTAGTAGCAAGCAATGATTTCCCACCATTGACAGTTTCCCTGATCAAATGAGATATAACATGAAAACGATTGCCATCATCAAGCATCCCATATTGATACCTGACAGCCAGCAAAGACCTGCTCAAATAAAAGCAAGATGTCATAAATGTCCAACAATGCATCACATGGAGGACGAAGTACTCAAGATGCAACATAAATTTACCATATAAATAGCTGTAACCGGTTTCTGCTTTGCTCATCATCAGGCAGAAAAAGAGATGGCAAAAGTGGAATCACTTGCTGGACTCCTCGAGATGCTCTTTGCAGTGATGCTCTGCAAAGATATAAGATAACCAAGCGGAAAACTACCCTTGGACACTTCTCCCCTCTTAATAGCATAGCTTTGTCAACATTTTTACTTGATTTCCCTCCAAGTGCATTCCCAAGTCCTCCAGACACAACAACTGCAGCCATTTCAGCTGCAGGGATATTCAATGATTCAACCAAGCCACGTGCTCTTTGCCCCAAGGATGGCCCAGAAAAAGAAGTTGATTTAGGCATAGTCTTGCCAGGTCCCTTTCCATTCATCTCACTAATAACAACCCAAAGACAGTCATATAAGCTCCACCAGTTGTCATCAGCTATTACATCTTCATTGGCAGTAGGCAGCTTGTTTGCTGATGGATTTCTAAGGAGGAAATTATGCATACACTGTCAGCTTACTAGAAATAAATTGACATATTGCTTAGATGAGGATGTGAAACCACAAATGTCATATCTGCTGATACATCAGTTTATATATCTTCCTCAGTTACAGTCAACAACTAGTCTTAAGAATGAAGCAATTGAATTTGGAGAACTAAAGTCTCGGTAGTAGATGAAAATAACTGCCATCTAGAAACATGAAACACAATATGCGCTACGTGAAGTATATGGATTTGCATGAGCATGAGCATGAGGCATTTGATCGTAAAGGAATGGAGAAGGAAGATTTTTGTGGATGACTATACGGAATAATCATTTTTGGTTAATGTAGCCGACCCCACTTATGGGATTAGGGCTTTGATTGATTGATTGATTATGCTAGGTGAAAGAAGAAATTATACACACTGACTACATATGAAGCAAACCAATTCCTACAGGGCAAACGGTGCAAACACTTTGGGACAAGTATATATATCTAGAGTGCAAGCTGTGCAACCAACAGGAAAGAAAAGAGCTCCAACTTGCATAAATCTAAAGGAAAAGGAGTAAAAATGACATGCAGAGTCTTCTTTAGCCTGAAACACCTCTGTATCTTAAGGGAGAAGAAGGTCAACAAAACAAATTAAAATAACAGTAACAGAGAGATGCTTCATGTGATCTCCAGTTACATAATTATATAGCATTTTAATAACAAAGAGGAACAGGTAGGTATAAACATAAAAATAAGATAGATGGGGAGCAAGACTATAAAATTAAGTAAAACTAACATAATTTTATATGAATTAAAATAGCACCACACCAATATCAGTCTAAAAGATCAAGTTATTTTAAAAAAAAAAAAAAAAAAAAAAAAAAAGTTAAAAAATTACTTTGTATACAATATAAGACACCAATTCAATTTACCTAGACATCCTTTCAACGGATTCTCCTTGCAATGCATCATGAAGAGCATCACCCAGGTCTGTGAAACCCTCTACATCAAGTTGATCTGGAGAAAACTCTGTGCTTGTTGCCGGAAACTGTAAGAAACAATTCATAAATCACAAACTTTTTCAAATTTCGGCAACAAAATCACACTAACCAGAAAATAGATTGCTGCATATATTATGATAACAAAAAAGGTCAGTTGCTAAGTGGCTAAGCGCTAACCAATAGGAAAGTACTTGATGAGCCTTTATAATAGAAGTGTCCAACCTTCATACTTTATATTTCATTTGAAGGATGACAAAAGGTAGGTATAGAACAAAAGAATTATACTTCATACATATAGCAGACCAAACTCAAGAAGACAGATGAGATGCTTTGCATCATTTAGTTGTGCAATAGAAACAACACCTCTGGAATATATATGTTTAACAAATTTCAGATGTGCAAGTCCCAAGACTCTCAACAAAGTTTATATCTGCTATCACTTCTTTCAAACAATACATCTTGACAGCCTCACTAACTAAAAGCTTTCAACTCAGAGAATACATCATATGACATAGATGCAGACATAATTTATTAAATAATAAATACAAGTAGTAGTTTCAGATAGATTGCATACCGGAAGCTTATGATCAATCTCAGATAGAAGCAACTCATCAATCAATTTCATGAAATACAAGGTATTATCACGACAAGGCTGAGATGCCAAAACATTTTCCTCGCGAGAGAATTCAATCAACTTCTGCAATAAATCCTCGAATATATCCCGAAGCAAGTAGTGGTATGAGACGCCAGCCTGCTAGACATTGAACTTATCAAGATCATGAATGACAACTTAAAGTAACCCAATCGATAAGAGTAGTGGATTATATTTACCCCATAAGTATTATTTTTTAATTAAAAAATAAAATTGCTATGGGAAATATTAAAAAGCAGGGAGACAGACAAGCCTAATATTCTGCTAACGGAATCTCTTCATCTCTCCTAATACATATAAAAACATGAGGCATCGAGGCAACATTACTTATTTAAATCAAGGTCACTTTGTTGTGTAAAGACCATTTTGTAAGAAATTCTCAACTTGTTCCTCAAAAAGCTGTTCCTTAAAAATGTGTTCTAAAAACACGACATGAAATTTTTTAGACTATTAAATTCATGGCATTAGCGGCATGTGCTGTTATCAAATCTATATCTACAAAATCCTGAGCTCTTGTCACTATAAATATATAGAGTGAACTTTACTCTGCAATATTAGCAAGGTCCTGTAATTTGCATATTCAAACATATATATTTCAATTCTCAACAACAATGAAATGCAAAAAAGGTTCCAATTCATCAACATTGGTGGTGATGGCTAAATATAAGATACAGCGTATTACACTTGCAGGATACTGCGTCAGAACACTGCAACAATTACCACAATTGCAATTGCTAAAGAGAGAGGCAAAGCCATGAGGGTGTACAGTTCCCTAATGAAAATAGTCCTTTATAAGAAGAAACACTAGATCACATTCTCAATATCACTTAGAATATTAATTCCAGTTTTCACAAAGATGTGAGGAAAGTGAAAAATAACAATAAGAATTATTTATAAGTGGAGAAAAGAATTGAACTCATATAAAGTGAATGTAAAGTTCGGACATCAATTGAAACATACAAGAATGGAAAGGAGGGCAATCACTCCAACTCAAAGGGAGTCTTATTTACAGTGATTCACTTATTATTAAGGACACTTTAAACCCACTTAGTATTCCATGATAATGCATGATATCAGTTTTTTTTTTTCGTAATAACAAAAAAAAAAAAAAAAAAAAAAAACCCTAATAGGGTTATCATGAGCCCCTTTCAAATAATTAAAACTGTAAGTCATATTGATGGCTTAATGCACTTCTTGCACCTTAAGTGCCTCACTCCCAAGGAAATAAGGATCCAAGACTCCCCCATCCCCAGTGGATACTCAAGGGGAAGGGAAAAGTAAGGAGCGTTAAGCTTTTAATGGGTTTGGATTGTCGTTATCCAAGAAGCTGCGATGAGCAGTGCTTGAAAAACCACTAGGCGCTGAGGTGCAAGGCGATAGGGGGTAAGCGCTTATTTTGGCCTGGGCGAGGCGTATTAATTAGGCTGAAGCAAATTTCTGCCAATATTTTTTTACTGTTTATATAGTGCGCCTCACTTCGATGAGGTGCGCACCTAGGCGCTGCATAAGCCTTATCGACTCAGCACGCCTTGAGCTTTTTTATACATTGGCAATGAGAAATATTTTTGACTGACTAGATTAATGATTTTTAGGGTTCATTGAGAGAGTTGTTTAACTTCTAATTTCAAATTTTAATTTTTTTTTTCTGTAGCTCGTTACATAGCTAAATAGTATAAATTGCATCAGCATTGATTACCAAAAAATAAAAAAACGAAACACGCATTCATAATTCAATGAAGATAAGAAAAAACTGAGGAGGAAGAAAAGGGGGGGGGGGATTTGGCTTAATCTAATTCAAGAAAAATTGATGCTTTTCATACATTTCTAATTGAAACGATAATATTGAAAAGCAAGGAAAGACTGACATTTAAGAGTAAGATTATTGATGGAAAAGAGAAAGAGGGGGGGACAAGAAGAAGTGGCCTGGGGATTTTAATCTATCATATGTTATAATTTGTCCTCTGTAGAAGGAAATATTGAATGAACTGATAGCAAACTATGAAATGATAGTAATTATATCCCTCTAGTTTAAAGTTTACATGAAGGCTCTATGGAAAGCATTTGTAGTACAAAATAAAGTTATGCATTCTGAAAATTTTCATCACCAGAAAATAAAATCACATGCACATACGAGTGATTTAGACATTTTACGACTAGTACCTAAATTATATTGATCTGTGCAGTTGCTGAATTTCTTTAATAGCAGAGATTTGGCAATGGGAGAGGTTAAGTAATTCAATTGGTTGTTTGCCCACTTATGTTACAAGACCAGAAGTACAGTATATATTACCATTGAAATGTTAACAAAGTAAAAAGAGTCAAGAACCACCTTTTCAAAATGCATGAGTATGAAATTGACTGTCTCCTCCAAATGTTGCCAGCCACCTTTCACAGAAAACAAATAGTAGCAAAGAACAACACAAAACAGTGTTCTCACAGAATTTAGTTCAATAATCTCGCTTTCACTTTGACCAACTGAATCCAGTTTATAATGCTTCACTACATCAAGCTCCATCGCAGCTGTCAGCCAGGCAGTCCATCCATACTCCTACATAGGCAGCCACAACATTAGATGATATAAGATACAAAAATGGCAAAAGATAAAAGCACATAAATAAGTACCATAAGTGATTCTATGTTCGACGGACTTGAATCAAGAAGATCAAGAAGATCTGTAATTATTTTGACTCTGGCCAATACATCTTTGCACTCTGACAGAAATTTGAAAATGAGAGCCAAAACCTGAGGAACAAAGAACTGAGAACTATTGCCCTTGCTTTTTTGACGTTCAGCAAGAGTTTGCTTCTGTACAACCTACAAATCCATACCATAGAAAACAGTCAGCATGAAGCAAGAAATCGATATTATTAATCACCAAAAACCAGAAAAGTATATCACCATATATTCACCTGCTTTGGGCTGGCACCACCAAGGAGTACATCAAACAAAGTGGCACATAAATGTTCTGTTAAAGGAAAACTGAATAATCTTTCAGAAATGGCCAAAACAGTGGGCTGTATTCTTGAATTGGTTCTCCTATTGATTTCTGAGAGAGATTTAGATCTTCCAACCGCAATGTTGAAAATTTTTAGTCCTTTCTTTTCAGATGGAATGCCAACCAAAAGCCTGCCTATGAATTGCAAGCTAAGCAATCTGATCGGCTCATTTGCTCTGATAAAAGGGAAAAAACATTCACTAAACGAAATGATTTTCTAAAAACAAATGAAATCTCAGAAGATCTGCAATAATCATACCTCTGTAGAAGATTTATGAATACATGACATCCACCAATGGAGTTCACCTGTTCAACAAATGGTGCCATAAGAGATTTCTGAGAGATAGCCCGAATAACCATGTGGAGAACATCCTCAACACATGCCATGTCCTGACTTATCTCAAAAAAGGCAACAAGTGCTCTGATATCCGATTCATCAATACATTGCCTGCAAAAAATGGTGAAAGTAAAACAACAATCTTAGACACATCGAGACAGATGATATGTGGAACCAGCTTGAGGAAAAAAAAAGGCCTCAATTACAGAACTTGGTGCAAACAAAGAATTAAACAACCTCTTCTTCTACAGCCAAGCCACAGCCCACCCCAACCAAAAGAGAAAAACGATTACTTAAAATATATATATATATATATATATATATATATATATATAGGGGGAGGCTCTCGTGAGAAGTTTTCTTATGTGAGAATTTTTTTTTATGTGAGAACACTCTTTATGTTCTAAATTTTTGGCCTGTAATAAAATTGCCAACCATATCTAACCAACATAATGGAACAAGAAAGACGTTCTCCAACCTAAGACTCATTTCACCGAGGCTGAGCAAAAGAAGACGGATTTTCTGAATTTCTTCTTTACTGGGTCTCTCTCCAGCAGTTTTCTTTGATAGAGGACGCATGAGAGGTCTCCATCCACCAGAAGATCGGCATTTTGCATTATCCCAATAAAACTGGCGTATTATATCCAGGACTCGTGGTAGCCTGCACAGACTCTTTAGCAGTCTTGGATCATTATCAAACTGCTGGATCAAAAACATATATAGTTCGCGCTGCACTTTGTAAACCGTAAACACCCACACGAGGGGATTAAGAAATATCGCAGATATAGCATCTTTTATAAGAAGCTCCGACAAGCCTGTATCAAAAACCAAAGAGCATCAACTTGTCTGAATAAAAATTAGCACTAACTTAAGGGGAGAAAGGAAATGATGTCCATACCACAATTTGCAATAACATTGAACAGATGTTTCAAAGCTGAAAGAGTTTCCAAATTCAGTTGCTCGGGTGGAACTGATTGCAACAGAAACCCCAGAATTGAACATCCGGAAACAAGATGCATTTGTTGTTGATTTGCTACATTTTCATCTAGGACAAAAGCTATAAGCTCAATAACTTCTGCTGTGAGACGCTCTTTTGTGATAGGTATAAGCAATGGATTTCTGTTGTCAGTTTGCTCTTCATTTTCATAATAGTGAGATTGAGTAAAAAGAGGAAAGAACACAGATATGCCTCCAACACAGTAAATAATCTCTTGTAGCAATCGCCGAGAACAAAGCTGTGTCCCAGCCAGTACTGTTGCTTCAAATGGATTCTTTTCGACTGCATACTCCATGAGGGGTGCAACATTGTACAACGCTCTTTTGTTACTTGCCTGTAATATTCAGCGTAGATGTGATCAGAGCTGTGTGATCGGATAATAGCAACTTTTGGAGCAGAACATAAAGATAGAAGAGAACCTGAGCATTAAGTCCAAATATTATTTTTGGAGCAAGACCATCTTTAGTATCAAAGATCCCACCAGGCAAGGGACTATCAGATGACGGTGCAAACTCGTTGTCAAGAAATGAGTACATGTAGCTTGGACCCAAGGAAAAGATACCCATAACTTGCTCTGAGGTGATGGCATCATTGAACAAATAAACTGGCCCTATCTGACCAAGAAATGGTGAAATATCTTTGATGGAGTACGAAGTATTTTCCTCATCACCGAAAGGAAGAAGTATCTTGGTGCCCATTGCACATTTTGTCAACGGATCATTAACTTTAGGATATCTGGAGAGTTACAAAAAGAAAATAGAGTATGTCTTAATTCTTTGACAATATTCTACTTCTTTGGTAAACACCTTCAAAGCCAAAAAATCTAGTGAATAAGAAAAAAAGATAAAAGTGCACCTGCATTTTTCAGATGATACAATATTGCCATCCAGATAACACTTTAAAAGGCTACCCCCAGAAAATGCTCTACCAATGCTATGGGTTATGCAAAGATAATGCCATTTCTTCCTAGCAAGATTGACATGAAACGAAACTCCGTGTCTCTTCTGGTTAATAGACTGCAAAGGACAAGGGAAAACCAAGCAATTAGATGTGCAATCGCAACCACCAAACATCCACATGCTTATAAATTCATAAGCAAACGGAAGAAGTTCCACAAAAGATGCATATAGAAAATAAAAACAGGGTGATAAATTGATCAGCAAATTACCTCGTAAATTAGCTTATCCTTGGAAATTAGAGAAAAGCACCCTCTTCCGTTTTCAGTTAGGAAAGAAAAGAGTCCCATTGTACCACATCTAGGAAAATTTTCTACCCTAAGCCAACATGAGAAAGTAAAACCCCTGTTTAGAGGCCACTGCAGAGGAGTTCTGAGTATGATTCCCTGCCCAATAATAATATTTAAAAGCATCAGGTTCCAACTTCAAGGTCAAAGTGAAAAAAATAGCATTCATAGCTTTAAAAAAGTAAATACATTTGACACCCCATACCCACACTTCTCATAGGAAAAAATATATATATTATAGCTTGTAAAGCACAAAAAAGAACACTATAAGCAGATAATTGCAAGTCTTTTGAGAAGCTGGATGCAGGCCAGATCGGGGGGCATGCCCGCCCATAACAGGTGTGGTTACTTCAATTAGGAGTATGAGGAGAATTTGGAGATTTACATGGGGGTTCGATTTGGCGCTATTGCTACTTTGACCATGCTAATCCTCATGTAGGTGGTTTTTAGAATTTAGGAAACTTTTTATGTTTAATACTTTTTTGCCTTCAATTTACCTCATTTGGGACTAGAATGCAAGAGATCAGCACATAGTGAATCAACAGAAACTAACTAATTGATGAGACTATAGCAAACTTACCGAATCATCTCCAACAAGGTCAAAAAAGGCAGTCGGCCCTTTCTCATTCAACATTGCCAAAATACAATTCATAAGTAACGAGCAGTATTGTTGCCGCTTTCCAACTTTTTCACTTCTTAGAAGCATAAAAATTTTGCGAATATCTCTCCCTGATATACTATGGCCACCAATTACTTGAATCAGCTGAGCGATTCTCAATATGACATTATCGTTGTCTTCTTTTGAGAACCAATCAAGAAGAAAGTTGAGCATCCCTGCACTTACACAGGAAGCTCGATTGGATATAGAATCCCTCAGTAGCTGCAGAAAGATATTAAGCCCCGCTTGCTGCACAGAATCACTGCTCTGCCAATGATAAGCCAACCGTCAGAAACACAAAGCCATGGAAGCACCCCCCTCCCCCCCAAACTCCTCATTAAAAACAAAAATATGGTCAGGAGAAGACAAACTGATGGAGATTGATGAAGTCAAAACCAATTCGTTTACAGGGAGAGAACAGTATTTTGCAACTTCAAACTCCAGATTTAAAAACCAAAAACCATACTCTTTAATTAACCCCCCTCCCCCCCCCCCCCCACACACACACACACAGAAAAATAAAAAAATAAAATAAATGCTTCAGTTGCAGATGAAATACCAACCTCTTGTAAGAGACTTAGGTAAAGAATTATGGCATCTTCATTCTGCACAATAGATATAGAAAAAGAATTACATAGGCATAATGCAGAAGAAATCAGAAGTTAAACATCAAAAACCTGAATTATTTACATCCCTGTACATAAGGGACAATCATAATACGATTGCTATTCAAATGAAAGTTCAAAAGTGTACATCAATAGGACAGTAAAAGGATAAGAATGAGTACTTTTATTGAAGGATTCCCTTTCACGTCAAATTTGCCATCCACAAGCATGTCAAGCAGTGAATTTAAAAGGCACTCACTAGCCTGACTGTGGCAATACTCCAGCAACAAACTTTGCAAAGTCTGATAACCTCTCCCTACAAGATTTCTGAACGAGGCCTGAAAGACCAAATATGTACAGAAAATATAACAGCACAAACAGAAACACCAAGACTTTAGGTCAGTGGATTTAATTAGACATTCAGAAGACATAAAGGCAGTAAGTCCAGAGTATATCAACTCATACAATGCTGCAATGTTGCTCGATTAAAAGATCAGAACTACCAGAATGAATCTAATAAAATTATTTGGCAGAGTACAATTATGATGGAAACCCTGCCAAGTGATAGGAGAAATAGTTTTGAACCTATTTGATCCCTACATTTATAATTTAAGAGGGAATCTATGACCTAAATACTTTAATTGCATAAAGTCCAACAAGAACATAACACAATGAAAGCATTGGAAAAGAAAAGCATGGGGAGGGGGGGGGGAGGTGTGTGTGGAAGTCAAGTGGTTTATTTTCTACGATCAACTTAAATCTTTGGCTAGCTGGAAGAGGTTCATACCTTTGATATGTCATTATTGGAAAGAAGACTAGTCAGTGTTTGGAGGACATCAAGGACCAATTTCTCCGCATTCGTAGAATCAACAACTCCATTGAGTAAGGAGACAACGTGAATAAAGCATTCACCATTACGAAACAATTCCTGGTAATACTGAAAGCATACAGTTTTGCAAAAATAAGACACTAAACAAATCATTAAATCAAGGTTAATAAAGACAGGACACGTCTAAGGTAGAACAGAAGTGAGACCAAATATAGAGTTACAGAACATGGTGCAAAAGGAGAAAGAAAAAAGGAGTGCTATAGACGAATACCTCTTGATCCATCAACAGCATCGCTCTCATGCCAGCCAAAAGCTCAATTGACACTTCTGCAAAATCTTTTTCCTTTTCTTTTACCTGGGTAAAAGTTTCCAGGTACCTAGAACACAACTGCAACTTTGCTGATTGATCATCCTTACAACTAGGAGCAGCCTGCCCATCCAAAATCCAAGCCCCGACATAGTAACAATAAGCCATCAGGAAAAAATTGCCTCAAGGCAAAACATAGAAAAGAAACAAAGTAAAAGAACCACCTTCATCAGCTCAAGAATATAACCAAGCATGAGATTTCTTAGATCCTTATCCCAGAACAAATCAAACAAACAATCAATGCACTCTGCATCATGTACCAAACTTTTTGCATCATCAGCTACACAAAAGTAGGTGTTGAAGAGCTCCACAGTTGATCCCATGCTCTTATCCAGATTGAGCAATGCTGCAGGAATATCTGATCTATGACAACTATCAGGTGGGATATCATCAACTTTGGTCAATTTTTCACTAGGGGTTGAATCATTAGACCTAAATTCTTGAGCTTGAATGCAAGCAACTCTAAGCACTCGGGACATCCCCTTAAGCTCCTTGAAAGAAGCAAGCGTTTTTTCCCGTGCATGTTGCAATATTTGAAGCAGACTTTTACAAAGCACCGTTGCAATCTCTGGATTGCGAGCAGAACGCTCAAGTGCATCTAATAAAGCTGAACACTCTGGCTGCCATACAAGAGAAAAAGAAAGTCAGCATGCAGTGGGAAATGGACCTTTAAAATGAACAAAGTTTTGCATCTCCAGGATCCAACTTCAAAAATAAAACTTAAAAGTGGACTAAGAAGAGAGCAGAAATAGCCATTATTTAAATAAGGTCGCAAATGTAACCGAGTATGGCACAAAGATGAATTCAATATCCAGTAGCACCTTTTGTACACGGGTGACACCCCCTTTGTGTCTTTCTACTTATCAATTATAAAATCTAAGTAATATCATCTCACATACACCATGGCTGAAATCAAAGCATCACAAGAAATGGAACCAGACCTCATCAAACTTTTCAAACTTAAATCCTTTCTAGAAATCGGCAAAAAACTTATGTATAATTTCTTTATAACAACTTTCAGATTACGTTTTTTTTTTTAAAATGATGTTTTTACTACAGGCCAGGTTGAATGATAGTTAACTAACTAAGTGTAAACAGGCAAAAACTAACTAACCAAATTATGTGTAGTCTCCTTGAGAGTTGCAGCAAACTCAGCAAATGAGATGACTTCCATTTTGAGACTTTCTGCTTTAAGAACCAACACTTCAATATCATTGCCAATAGTGACAGACGATAAGCAGGAACCCTTGGTTGCTGAGCAATCAACTTCAAAGTCTAACAAAGCTGCTCCAAAAAAGTTCTCTGAGAAGACAAGTTCCCATATTCGTTCCGCCCGAAACACTTCAAGCAATGTCGGTAAGGAACTCAAAAACTGCCTTAACGCATGCAGAGCTTGATGCTGTAAGATACACACGAACATTCTACAGAAACCAGCAAAAAAATATCACTGAGTTCTGATAATAATAATTGACAGCACCTCCATTCCAGAATCCAGGAGGAAAAAGAAAGTATGAATGCTGACAAAAATGATCCAATATTAACCTTAAAAAAGCAGGCAATTCATCTTGATTTGAGAAAGCCTTGATGCAAGGAAAGACAATCAAAAGAACTCTTAATAACCATCTTACTGAAAGTTCAGAAAATAATGAAGAAACTGGCACATTATGTCGGCCAGTTGGTCCATTAATACTTTCAGACATAGTATCTTCAAAAGCAACCATAAAAGAGCAGAAACTCTGGCTCAATGTAAAAGCATAATGTTGCCAGTATTTTATGAATTCCCCAGCAAGAGATACTGTTGAAGACTCTTTATTCCAAATTTTCTCTTCATTGTCATGCTCTGATGTTGTGGATAAACATTCCAGATTACTTTGTACAGAAATCTCCTTCCTCCGTAGCTCAAAATTTTGAAGTGCAAAAGCAGGAATGCAGAAGCTGTTTGCAAAGTTATGCACTCTTCCATTCTCACACAAGAATTGCATGTTATTAACATTCCCATATCTAGGCATCCGTTAAGGAAACAACCAAGTACTGATGCTTAACAGATATTGAAGATATTCCAGATGACTAGAGAAATTAATATTAGAAAACATTAATTAAGTATACAGCCATAAACAACAATCAATAAACTTGTTACAGTTAATATTATAAAGCCAAAAGGCGTACTTTAAGGATATATATAGTTCATAGTTATCACTATTTAAACTAGTACACGATAATGTAGCACAATAGTTTAATATAACCTGTTCAAAATGTATTTATAAACATTAACCTATTGCATTGTATGTAGGTAGAGCCTTAGAGGGAAAAGTTGAAATGTATGAAGGATACACTGCCTCTCTAAGAACCTCCAAAGATAGCACATGGAGTTGAAATAAGGCAAGCAGAATGTTTTCATACCTGCATTACAATTCACAGTAATTAAAAAGCAGCTAAAAGGCTGATAAACAGAAACACTTATATTACAAAGCAGCACAACATCTAGTACAATTAATAAGATCATAACCAAATTTAAGGTAGGCCCCTCAATCAAAAGCTTATTGATATAGCACCAGCTGAAGAAGACCTATTATGGATAGGCAAAAGACTAGTAAAATTGTTAAAACATTCTTATTCAGACAAACTAAGAGGTTACAGGACTCATTTATATCAGAAAGATTACAAGTTTTTTCACATTGAGTATCGAGGTATGCAACTGATTATAAGTATCTACCTCTCCCTGAAATTTGCAAAGAACTGGGTTTCATCATTTTCAAAGCCCGGATGCAGCAATAGCTTCTATATCTGCTATTTCACAAAAAGCATATAACTAATTCCTCATAATTCCCATCAGAGGCTTTATCTAAACAGTAAACACCTTTTACTCCAAACATGAGCATATTAAATACACGAACCAAAAGCCAAAATTTAATGACTCCTATGTGTAAGTTGCTAAATATATATTAACCAAAATGAAAGAGATGAAAATAAAGGCCAAAAAGAAGACACCCTTTTATTATACCTATTGGCTGCCTTCGATGCCAATGCATTGCTAGATGGAAGTCCAAGCCCATCCAACAAAACTTCAAGTCCTCCGATGCTTCTAAAATGATTCTGAGCACGAGAATTTTCAGATAAGGCTGAATGTAGAGCCCTCAAAGTCAAATATTGAAGTGACAGATTCGTCCACTGTTCTTTTATGCTCAATCTTCTCATGACACGAAGCAACTCTGAAACAAAATTAACTGCATGTTATACAATGAACTTTCATACAAGAAACACAAGCTTATTTTAATAATCGCAGAAAAAGAAAAAAAAATTATATTAACAGCTGAAAAAAGGGATTACAAACAATGAGGTCAAGCTGTCTTCTGAACATGAAGAAAAGATTGCAAATAAAGCCAACTGATTTACTCTTGAAAGATCCAGCCCCCTTAGCCCATAATGACGCTAATTAGGTAAACTTATCCCACTATATCAGAAGAAGTACAAATTTATGAGAAGACCCCTGGAGCTTCGCCCTTTATACACACTACATGATTGCCTTGAAAGCACATCACCATAACACTTCTCCTTACCGTTACCAAACCCCTAAAACAACACACTAATGACAGCAACAGTAAACAATAAAAAACATGAAGAAAAAGACAAAATAATAAAAATTAGCAAACCACAACAGAAAACAATAGAGCTTGATAAGAGATCATCCGCAAATTGAAAGTAACACAAAGATCACTGATTGAGTAGACAAGGTCAAAAAAAAAAAACAAGTGCATTGCAAACAAGCATTATTTGACCATTAATCTAAATAAATTAGTCCTTTTTTCTACATAGAAATTGAATTCACAAATGGATTACAGACAAAGCTGAGATAATCCACTCCGAGCCATAAGAGATTTCATTGAGTTACCTAGAATGAGGTGTGTCGACCAAAAGTGGACAGAGGTGATAAACTTTCTTCACTATTTTGCCCATTATTTGGTTAGACATAAATGATAGACTCTACTTGAAAGTCAGATTTCTTTGTGGGAGAGAGTGGCTTCTTTTAACTTCACCTTGGACATAGCTATCTGAGCTACAAAATGTTCAAAGGTAACTTCCTTTTTCATGTTATTATCAATTCCAAGCATGTGACATTGTGGTAAATTCTATTTGATTCCTTCACTGTAAAGGACTCTCACAAACTTCTTCATTCAATAACAAACTTTCTCCTAGATAAACAAGACTATTACATACCCAGCCAATGTTGTGCAAGATTTGAGAGCCAAAGGACTTATTGCCAGATACATTGTTTTTCCTATTTCTACTCAAAAAGAATATAAATGCACATAGAATAAACACTACCTGTAATTGACTCATCCCTAATCACATGTACATCAGCAGATACATCTACGGTCCATTTTCTATGCACATATAGCAGAGCCCTTACAATATTTGAGCCACCATGGCCTAGTTTGCTAGCTACTCTTGGCGTGTAAAAACAAAAAAAAAATGCATGGTACAAGCTCAAATTATGATGTATATTAAAAAAAAAAAAAAAAAAGGAAAGAATATGCCTACCTTACCTACTAACCAATTAAGACCACCAGCCTCCATCACTGACACTATAGCTGTCTTCTTCCATGGATACAACTTTCCACGTTGAACTTTAAATGTGGCAGAAGGATCTATCAATGATGCACCACCACTTGGTAATGAAAATGTAATACTGTTGTAAATATTAGCCATCTCATAAGCATCTGAATTCAAGTCAATGAAGCTGCAAAGTATTGACACCACATGTACAAGTAACTTTTGCAACAACTCAAATATATTCAGAGCATGATCAGACAAAGCTTCATCTCCAGCAAGAGCTCCAGCAATCGCCTTTAGTTGGACAACAGCCGCTAAAAAAAGAGTTCAATGACTAAATATGTCAGAGAAGATACACAGAAAAAACAAAAAGAAAGTCTCCTTTTAAAGTTAAGAATATGATAGAATAGAATAAAACTATTTTTTTTTTTAGAAAAAAAAAATTAAAAAAAAAAAAAAAAAAAAACTCAATGCTACATGTCACAAGCATCTATTGAAAAATCAAGAGCTTGGGATTCCAAATTTAATTTATATAGTGGTCAAGTCGAAAATACTGGTCATGAATATTGGCTCATTACTTAAACTTTAATACCATTTTAAACATACAACATCTGGACCGCAACAATCCAGATCACATTCAAATTTTAAGGATATGTTATCCTTTTACAGAATTATTAGTTTTTAAATGTTTCTTTTAACTTATAAAAACAACAGATATTAATAATGCTGGTCAGATCAAGGATCATTACAAGTAAATTATGTGACACAATAGTACTACCCAGGCTCAATGGATACAAATGAGGATCCTTCATCAGACGATCAGCAATGAGCTGTTTAGACTTTAGAATTAAGATGGGATTATTCTTAAGCTGAAAGTGAGATGCATGATATCACCCAAAACTCAAACTCAACCAAGCACAGACCTAAATATGACCCATTTTGACCATTTATTATACATAGTATTTTGTAACTTTGTTGTAGCTACCGTATATTAATATACAACCCAAAACCAAATACAAAACTTATTAGAATTACCAGCACTGCACAAAGCACATGTTCACAACCACCTTAATAAATGATGTCAGCACCACAAATACACCCAAATATGGGCTAGTACCCAAAACAGATTACCCACCATAAAGGTCCGCAATTCAAAAATAGTCTATGAGCTCATTTATAAACCCAAGTTTATAGAGTATTAAGGTTATAGTTCTAGAAGCTTAGCTGGATTTAATTTTATTTCTGAGAAATTAAACTCAATGTGTAATTGTAGAGCATTTCAAAATAAATGCATCAGCGCAATAAACTATGAAAAGCACCACGATAACAAACATTAAAAACTCCTGTTACAATTTCCAGTACCTTTTATTAAAGCAACAAGTTTTTGTATCCCGCCATAATAGCCTAAAATTCTGCAGTTATGAACTGAACGAACTATAATCACCAATGCTTCTAGGGCAGGTATCCCTTCTGTAGAAATCTTCAGGCTTGTGGAGACAGTAAGTGAATCATATGTAGACTTTGAAAACCCGGTATCCACTGCATTCACAGACAAAAGGCAAAATTGATATTTTTTAAGATCATTTATTGACCAAGCTGCCGGATAACTAGAGACAAAAGATATATAATATTAATAAAGACAATGAAGAATAATGACAAATCACTATAGATTTCACCAATGACAAGATCTTGGTAATTCTAGATTTATGAAGCCTTACCCAAACCAGAAATACAAGAAAGAAGACAAATTAATACAGTCTATCTATGTGTACCTTTAACTACAATAATCTCCACATATAATATACACAGAGCTTAACAATTCAAGTATACCTTTAATCAAGAAATCCAAATCATAAAAGTCTAATTCACCATCTAGTTAGACATGTATTCCAATATGATTAGTCCATATTTATTCAACTTAAACAAGTACCTTGAGACACTTACAGGTAAAAACCAACACATAACTCACGAAACAAACTCTACTCTCCCATTGAACAAAGTTGACCCGTAGGGACATAGTAAATTAAAGATTGAGAAGTGTAAACCAACACTGGTGAACATCACTGAACAAGAAAGCATTTAAGCTTCAGCATGGTGTATATTAGTCTATCTTCCCTCTTCATTGCCAGAAATAAAGATACATGACTGCGTAATCAGCAACAAGTGGAAGATGCATCAATTTCATATTGGCACGAATTTAGCAGCCATATATAACTTAATCAATTGACTACTTATATACTTTTTAACTACCTATTCTGTGAAATTAAAACTACAATCATGAATATTGAGGGTGTGGTAAGTAGGTTATCAAATACAAAGTAATATCAGAAGCAGCAAATTTTTATTGAAACCAAATGAAAGAGAGAAAAAGAAAAGGAATATCAACTTACAATCGGTGACTATAGAAGTCATTTGCGTTATTTCATCAATTAGAGTTATTATAAATTCAGTTGGGTGTCCAGAAAAGCAACCAACAGATGTGTCACCAGACTGAAAGGATTGCTCCACGTCTGAGACAGTTGACGATGTACTATCTGTACATTCTCCAGTGATGATAGGCTCCCAATTGTTGTGCACGTCTACAAACTGCTTAAGGAAAACACGAAACAGCTTTCTCTTTTCCACCTAGTTTGAGGAATACTATAAATATTAGCACTTTGGAAGAAATTAAACAAGGAACAATGACTTGCATAGTAAACATGGAACAATACTGGATATTGTCAAATTATTTTTAAAGATCAGCTCCAGAGTAAAATTCTAGGTTAATGTAAAGCTCAATCCAAGGGAGAAGAAAAGATAAATGTATAAAGAACTGAGCATATCTTAGAGCTTCTTAATCAGAGCACAGGATAGCACTTGAATGCAGCAGGCTTACTCATAAACTCATAATCCACCACAGGCAACCCCATGGCCCCACCCTCCAACCCCCAAAATAAAAAAAATAATAAAAAAGAGAGAGAAAAACATTTATATCAATATAAGACTGTATAAAGCAGTAGGAATGCTAAAGAGAAAATTAATTCAATTGATAACCATGTGCTGTAACAAGTGCATTATGGATTAAGCATCGTGGTTTCAAATTTTTCTTGGAGCACTTTTCCTTCTACTCATAATAATTGTTCCTAAACTCGGCCTATGTTTAGCTCAAAAATAAATAGATAAATAAGCCACTGTCAGTCAAGAAAATGAATAAGTTTTCCACAGGCTTATTTTCCCCCTCTTTATAAGATAATTCAGTAATCAAACTTTACTTGATACATAAACCGTCTGATTTGCTCATTTTAGTTCTTACATACTTGCATTTCCTTTGAGCCAAAATAAGGCCAAACTTTGTTAGTGATTAATAGGTGAACAAGTCTGAAAGACATCGAAGAATAAAACAGAGATCTTGACAACCACAACAAACTTGCATTTCATCACGTCAACGCACACACTTTCTGCTACCACTAACTGGGAAAGTAGTTTGATTATCCAAATGCATCAACTAAGCTTGATTATCAATCAAGCCGCACATCAGCTCAGTAAATACATGATAAGAGTAGCACCCCTGGAAGTTGCGGCCAATAATAGGAGTAAGGAGAAATTCAAGCACACCTACCTTATCAGCAGCCTTTTCGTATTTCTCCCATAGACCTTTTAGAATTGACTCATTGCCAACCTCACTAAAATAGGAAACAACAACGAAAAGTAAGATAATATATCATGTCTCTTAATTTAATCAAGCTTAACAAAAACATAAAAGATTAAAAGGACACAACCTAAGGATCATTTATAGATAGCTGTCTTTGGCCAGTGAACATTAAGAAGCCTACTAATAGGATAACATATTCCTAATTTTTCAAGTTATAACAATAGAATGATAGGTCAAGTAATCAGCTAAAATAGCTGCAACATTCTACGAATCAAAAGCAAGAAAACGATGAAGAAAACATACAAAAGCTAAAGTGGTCAAAGAATCACAAATGACAAGACTAATTCCACCCAGTACAAACTTTAGTTTAGTCTGACAAAAGTTGTTACAGAGAACTAGAGAAGCTTAGGTGCAAGGTGCAGAGAATGATTGACTTTGTAGCTCTAGGAATTCTTACTAATGCATGCCCTAGCCCCTGCAGCATAGGAGACATGCTTATAAGCAAGTGATCAAACTGCTTTCATAAAAAATCCTACTATTCTTAGTTATTATAGGATATTGCATTATGGTTCAATTTATTCTTTTTTATACAGTTCTAAGAGTCTCTAATAAACATTATTTCACCTATGGATTACAGCGACTAAATTAATGTCCCACTTCAGCACTCTTTACTTCTTGGTTGCTGTGAATTGATATGTCAGTCCTTGCAAATGCAGGGATAGGGCACAAAGGCCTCCAAGCAATTGAGTGGAGTAAAACTGCAAAATTCATACCCAGCTTAGGCTGCTAAGCTTAGGCAGATCCCCATCGTCATAAAATTCACTAAGCTTTAGCCATACTCATAAATACAATGGCCCATAACTTTTTTTTTTTTACCTAAGGCAAAGTGGTAGACAATAGGCATGTATAGGTTGCTGCATACATATTCCTCAAGTACAAATTCAATTTTACTGATTTTGATTTAATTTCTCTCATTTGCTAGTCAGAAGCTCCTCCCACACCAAAGTTAGACTAAAAGACTGAAACAGAAAAACCGGAAGCAATTCATGATAGGTTGCCAATAAAGCCAAAAATATCCTATTTAAACTCGTGCTAAATGGAAAACGTTGAAGAAATTTTTATCACCGAATTACTTCTAAAGTTCTAGAATACCAGTGAAACACGTTACACAATTCTGCAATTGCTCAATCCCAGAAAAAAAAACGGAAGCAAAACATAATACATTGCCAATAAAACCAAAATATCCTACTTAAACTCAACTAGATGGAAAACTTTACAGAAATCCAAATCAATGTCTGTTACTTCTAAAGTTCTAGTATACAAGTGAAACACATTACACAATTCTTCAATTGCTCAATCATTCGTTTCATCAAACACAAATTAACCTTAAATTTCGCATCATCAAATACAAAAACAGTAAAAACATAAACTCCAAGCAAAATAAAGAACAAAGCAAAGTACCTGAAGCAAACATTATGAGCGGGAAGAGTAAAACGCTCGGTTTGCAAACCCGAGGCAGACTCCGAGTTATTGCCACCAGACGAACCCCGAATGAGGTTCGCCACACCCTTCACAAGGTGCATCCTGACCTCCACAAACAACTATCACTCCTTATAAGTTATAACTCGCATAACCAATTACACCTACACAACTGCTCACTGTACACCATTTTCTTACCACTGAGTTCAATTTTTCTACAGCAAACAAAAATTCCAGTTACAACAACATCAAAAACACTCCCTAAATCAGATTTTCGCAATTAGTATAAAAATTGATCAAATCAAATTATACACTAACAAGTTTTAGTACAATTAACATAGATTAAACAATAATAACAACTATAAACAAAAATCGATTGCTCAAATTAGAGGATAAAGTAAACAATATGAAATGAATTATACGTAATAACTAAGATTAAGAATGTTGCAAACCTGAAAATTGATGGAAAAATTGGATGATCTGAGATTTTTAGGAAGATCTGAAGTGATTATGATGCTTGTTATTTGGTTCTTTGAAGCTTCAATCTTCAATGGCGTCAGTGAAGAATCGAGGAGAGAGAAAGAGAGAAAGATGATGAACAGAATTTATTTTTATTTTTATTTTTATTTTTTCTTTACTTTTTAAATTTTTTGGTCAGAAAATGAAAGGGAAAGCTGAAAATTGTGATCTGGGTTTTTGGGTTGGATCGTGTTCGAGATTGGTAAGGCGGTAATCCAAATTGCACGTCAGTTGACTTCATAATTGCCTCGTATTAAGCCACAATGGTCTTAATTCTTGAGTCGTAAAGATGGCACTAGGCTTGATCGGCCCATGGCACGGAATAGTATTGATGTTGTGTTGCTTGTGCTTACTATTTTGCTAAGTCATGAGTTGGTGCTGGTCCAATTTTTTTTTTTTTTTTTCAGAGAAGCATTGGAACAACATATATCTTGAGTCGTTTTTGGGCTTGTTGAAAATTTCGGGATGTCAAAACTCACAAGGGTCGAGCACTGTCGCACAACTACACAAGGCATGGCATACCCTTGAACAATCTTTTTTTATTTTTTGACACAATTGAACAACCAAATTGGTCATATAGACAATTTTTTGGTGTTCCATCCAATTCACCCTTTAGGCTAATCCAGATTCGAGGATCAGTTCTATGTGGTTAGGTTCCAATCCTCTCCCAATTCTTGTTGTGGGGGATCGAACACGGGTCCTTCCTACCAAGTATAGTCTCAATCACCACTACACCAATAACCAATTGGTAAAAGGTGTGACCATTTAGTAATGGAAGTAAGTATATTTGTAATCTGTATATGCTACTCCTTATGTTACTACGTATTACAAGTAGTAGCATACTTACCCTACAAAGGAGAGGAAGTATAATTGATTCAGACTTATTAGTATGACCACATAGTTTATTGGGCTTTAAAGAAGTCCATCCAACACGATCCAGCCCTCCTGTTACTATGGGCCTATGGCTAACAACATAACAAATCACCACTATTTAATTAATTCAACACGATCCAACCCTCATCTTAAAGTAGTGTTTGTATGGGTTAGATTGTTTACTTAAAACTAGTCTTCTGGCCCGTGCAATACACGGCTTGTTCATAGAAAATTACATTGAGAGATGAGTGAGGAAATACCGATAAATAATTATGAGTGTAATATGTAACTGAAAACATAATTAAAGAGATAAAAATTTTGGGACTTTAATTTAAAATGAGACTTAATAGAAAGAAGATGGAGGGACTAAAATCAAAGAGAGAAAATAAAAAGGTTGAATTAAAGAGGGGAGATGAAGATAAAGTGTTTAATGAAAGAGTTAAGAACAATAAAAACGACATGTGGCATATTGAGTTGAAGAAGATGATAGGGAAGTGTAATAGAATGATGACATATGTCTTTTTTGGTTTTCTTTTTTAAATACTAAGTATAGATAGATATAGATTTGGTAGTTAATAGCTAAAACAACCCTTAATCAAGAGGTATTATGAAATGTTTATTGAAGACATACCCTAATTTTTAATATAACCCAACCCACTAAAACTATTTATTTTTGTTGTTGAAATTTTAACTATTTGGGTTACAAAAATGTCAACATTTTAATTCAAATTAGTTATGCATGAAGGACTGAAGGTAATAAGCAGACGGAATTTGATCACCTAAGCTATATAGTACTCGCTATAACACAGTATGTGAACACGGTTAGACGGTGATCAAATTGAAGCAAATGAAACTCGGTTAACTAAGCTATCTACCATCGACACTGCTACACATTGGATTAGTCTTTGCATGCTTTAACTTCATCACCCAACTCTTATCCTATCAACCGTCAATCATTAAAGAGAAGCATGGCGAAAAGTTTGGTGTATCTATATGTTAAATAATGCACTTATGCACGTCACAATTTGATTTAAGGATTTGAAGACATCTTAGAATTTGAGAGTTGAGAATATAATCATGTTAAATAATATGGAAATAGTAAGGAATTGAAGAGACTTAATTAATATATATTATAGTAAGGCGTAGGGTATAGAACAATTATAATATTAAGATTTGTTTTACAAGATTATGGTAGGGAGATGCTTAAATGTCAATTAGTAGGCAGACCAGACCGACTTCTAGATCCATCTTAAGCTACAATTTTAGTCAAGAAATTTTATGATTGCTATGCTTGGTTCTACCGTTCTAGTAGGATAAAGTTGTCTCAAATTACATACAAATACAACAAATATGGAGAAAAAAATTGACTCCAATAAAATTAAAGAATTAAATTAGCACGATTTTTGGGAGCCAAATAAATTAGGGATTCAAGGTAACTAAGATCAATGATACTCGATCACAACTCCAATTCTCAAGTACGCAAGAGCATGATTTGTGTGGCCACTTTTATATATATATATATATATATATATATATATATATATATATATATATATATATATATATATAAATAAGTAACTCCATATAATATTGAACGAGTAACCCCTATAACACTGACGAAGTAACCCTTTTAACACTGACCAACTAACCCCTATAATACTAATGAAATAACCCTTATGAATTTGCGAATACGCAAATCTACTCCACCTTAATATTTGACGACTTTTTAACTCTGAGGGATAATGTTTGAAAAATCTTTATCTTATTTAAAGGGTTTTTTTTTTTTGGTATATTTTTGACATCTAGAGATCCAATTGCCAATATATATCATGCATTTTAGTTGTTCAATCTGTATTGACTTTTGCACTATTCACCTACATAACTTTAAAATGACATTAGTTATTAGTTATATATTAAGAAAAATATTCGTGTTCCATCTTGGTAGATTCATTTTAACATATACTGTATATAATAGTTTATATAATTTGTATTTATTAATTGATAATTTGATACATTAAGGGTCAAAATTATAATATTGGCAACATACAAAACAAAATTTTAATAACTAAAATAAACCAAGGGAATATTGAAGCAAACAACATTGCTTTCCAAGCAGTTTGTCTTATGCTATTATGTTAATACTCATATTCTGTTAGTCATGTGTCAATATGTCATCAAATGGAATATTCTTTTGGCACTAAATATACGAAATTACGAAGCTAAGTATATATATAACCGTATAATGGGTAGCTAATAATAACTAGCTATCATTCACCAGTTTCCCCTCTAAACAAGGTTGTTTAATAATAATAATAATAATGGGTTAATTTAAGGAGAACTTGTAGACGTTGTAGCTCTTAAGTCTAAACACAGCTAATTAAAATTGGGTAGATGGATGAAACATTGGATTTTGCTAAGAGTGATTGAAACAATAACAAATTATATCGAATCAGTTTTGCTGATTGAGATGATCCGAGCAAGATTACATGATATGCAATACTTACGAATCGGAGTATATAATAATATTAACAATATACTATAAACTCTAAATTTCTTACTTGACTCACTTGTAAAGTTCTTACTTCATGTTATTTAGGCTTGATAGATTGAGCTTCAAATCTTGTCAAGTAAGGGCGATTGGGTGTAGTGATTATGTTCCCTCCCATGTACAGATGTACTTTGATATTACATTATATACTTTTAAGTGTCTAATCCATAAATACTCGATCAAAAAGACTGCGAGGGTTAAAGTTTAATGGAATTCCGGCCTTCTCTTTAACATAAAAAAGATTTAGAAGAAGAACAAGAATGACAACTTTATAATTAGAAGACTACTACAAATCGGAGTTACCTTTATTATCGATTGTGATTGTTTTTATGATTGAAAATTAATCCCAATCAATGGGAGTATAAAACTCACTTAAAAAGCATTATTCTCTAAAATGATCATTTTTAAAACCCAACTTTAATCTAAGATTATTCTAAAATGACTCACCGAATTTGAGATTATTTTACACATATTTAATGTCCCTGTGAAACAAATAATATTGGAGCATTCTTCTTTAGACAAAAGAACAATCTAAAGATCCATACTTTAATTAGTACTATTAATATTTCTGCAATTAGAAAATAGTCTCCAAATCTCCAACAAGCAGTTATGTCGCCAAAAGAAGAGTAACTTCATGTGCAATTGGTCATTATTTTATTTAAAACTAGAAAATCCACCAATGGATAACGAAGATTATGCCCTCGAATTAATTTGTCAGGTCAATTATTAATTATCTTATCCCTTTCAACTTTTAAATTAATTTCCACTGAAAACCATTGTCCACTGTGTATTGTGAAAATGATATAGCGTGATCTTTACTGTTCCTTTTAATCCCTAATTAACAATGAAAATAGACTAAGATTTTGTTTGGTTGATCTTAATTTTGTTAATACAAGTATGATTTTGTGGCTTTATTCTAACAAGGTTAGAGGCGCACGCAATGCGTGCAAAATGTTTTAAATAGTTTAAATATTATTTAGAAAAATTCATGTGTAATGAGAAAACATATCGTATAACTCAACATGTTAAAAAAACACTCCTCCGTATATACTTATATCCTTCCAAATCTTTTTGATGTTTCTAATTAATATTTATTCCATTCAAAGATAAATTAATACACCGAAACTTTTAAGATTTTCTCCTTATTAGTTATCAAACGTAAAATTTTCTCCCAAAAAAAAAAACTGTGCGCATTAATAAAGAGCGAATACTTATAAAATATTACTAAATAATCAATTGCAATCACTTGATCAATAAATTATATTTACTACTTCATACCAAAATTACCAACCAAAAAACAATCAAATTTAACCGAAACTTTGGCAACCACTGTAATAGGCCATAACCTTTTACTTCCTCTAACCAAAAGAAATGACAAATTAAATTACAAAAAATCAACTATACGGAAAAAAAAAATATATATATATATATATATATATATATATATAAACTAACAAAGTATTCAACAAATTATCCAAGTACGTAGAAAAATTCTTAATATTAAGCCACCTACAAATTTTCTATGTAAATAACAAAGTATTGCGGATCGATATACTACCTCCGTATAATTATATAATATAATTATTGTATAAACCATTAGATTATAGTCATTATACCCATGAAAAAAGGAAAGGAAAAAGGAAAGATCTATAAAAGTAAAAGACGAAAAAAAAAAGAAAAACTAACCTGAGAAAAAGTGATGCAAATGTATTAGTATATACTCCGTATATAGTATATAAATGTATGCAATTGAATAGTATGCAAAACAACAAAAGAGAAGTTTTTAAGTGGTAAGTAAACCGAATAAATAGGCTAATAACCGCCTAAGAGAAGTTATTTTTGCTAAATATACCGCCTAAAGGAAGTTATGGTTTTTTTTTTTTTATAAGATGTAATTATGCAAAAAAAAGGGCATTTTGGGAAAAGTCAAATTTATCAACCAAAATGACCTTTCTCTTTATGTAAAACTATAGATCTTATGTTCATTTATTTCGAGTCTTATTATAATATATACTTCGTATAATAAGTTTAAGTGCCTCAAAAAAATATAGTAAAAAAAATATATAATTAGGGTACAATTTAGATAAGGCCCTACTATTCCATTCACCCGATTTTAAGGTATTTCATAAGTTCAAATAGATAAATATAAGTTCAACAAATAAGTTCTAATAAAGGTTTATACACGGTTATCAAGTTTAAATTACAAAGAAAATAAGTTTTAAATCAAATAAAATGAGATAAATTAATATAA